GAAATACCTACTTGGCAGCATTTATGCTCTTGGGGCCCAAGCATGGATGAGAGCAGTTAGGTGATTTTATTCATTTACTGTGATAAACATGAGGTGGCAATGCAGACCTAAGCCTAAGGTGGCAGGTCCCTAGGGCCACGTGGTTTTATCCAGAAGGGCAGTGAAAGTAGTTTGTAGAGGAGTGCATGTAGGGGACTGTGAGAGAGAAAATCTCATCTGATACTTCTTGTACAGAAAACAACATGGGGTCTTTTATGGTAAGAATAATTAAGCAGAGTCAAAATTACAGAGGGTGTTTGACAGCCACTGTAAACAGAAAGTTATGTTTTATGTTATCAGTGTGTTGTGCCAGCGGCTAGTATCACTTTGGAGGGACTGGGTGGCTCACCACAGGCATATTAGAGCAAGAGACCCAACACCACAGCTCTTCTCTGACATCCTGGCTGCTGCCTAGGTTGGGAGTTGTCTCTGAAAATCCCTCTTTGAAAACACTCTGCTAGTGTATTAGGAAGAGCTTTGGGAAGGGTGGCTCTGTCACCTGTGATGTTTTTCCTGCTGGTGCTGTAAAAGACAGTCTGGCATATTACAGTTGCATAGGATCAGATTTTTTTTTAATGAGCCTTGTTCCTTCCAAGACCAACATGTATTTCAGTGGCCTTCAAATGCCAGCACCTAGTATAATGGCTGGGTCATTGTGTAGCTACTGCCAGAAACCTAATTGCCCATTTGGAAGGAAGAATAGAGATGTGTCATTTTATCAAGAGTTGCAAAGGAAGTGATTTTTACCTGCAGGTGAAAAGTGATGAGTGTGTTGCTTTGTTACTGTCATTTGCTGCTTGTGAATTTATCATCACTGATTTTATGTATTTTATTGTCTGTTTGAGGAGCTGCTGGCTACAAATAACCGGTAATCTCCTGCTTTCCTCTGATATCTCTTAATTATATATGCACTTCCTTCCGTGTGTGGTCAGGTTCAGACTGTGTATGTTAGCGTGGTGTGGGTATTCTGTATGCCAGAGGCCTTCTGTACTTTGGGTAAGAGAAAACAGTGGTTGTGTATGATGTGTCATGGGCTTACAGTAATTATAAGTCAGTGACATGAAATTATTAGTCTTACTTTCTTCTCAACTGTCAAAGACAGTTCCTGAGTTTCCTGTCAGTCTCTTTGACAAGTTTGTTTCTCCGAGTAAGGAAAATACTGACCTTTTTTTAAGCAACCTTTAGGTCAGCTTCAGTGATGTGGTATCCACTCTCAGCTGTATTTGCTGCTCCTCTCCAGTGAGGCTGAGCCCAGTATGCTGCCAGCCCTCCAGCTGTGTCGAAGCCTGCAGGCTCCTCCACTGCAGCCGCATGCTTGAGCAAACCTGTGGCTGGGTCCAAAGCCTGTGGACAGGATTAAGCCCAGTTAGATTAATGTTCTGGTTGTGGAGAAGGTGTAACTGCAATAACATCAAATTACGGATTTGGAGTTAGATGCAATCCTTGTGCAATCTGAAGGTGTTAAAATGCCTGACTGCCACACCTGTGCTGGAAACTGGGGTTATTTGACCTGTTCTCCCAATTTTGCTGCTCTGAACTTTCTAGGCAAGTACTGGCTAACAGCACAACTGTCTTTTTAATGCTGGCGGGACTCTTGCTTCAAGTCTTCTTAACACAGAGATTTTAAAATTTCCTTGTGATAACTATCGTTTCTTTGAGACAATGAGATAAAAGGTAGATATGAAAAATATGCCAAACAAGTGCTCTTTAAATTCTTAAGACCTGACAGCACATCAGTAGCCTTGCTGCAGTCGTGAAGTTACCTGGTTTGGGGTTTCTGTTGCTTTAAAATGTAAATAATGGGCATGTTTAATATTAAAAGGCTGTTGCTCATGTACAGTGATTATAAAACCTCACAGCATGGATATGTTTATACACCCCAAACTGGGCCATGACTGGCAGTGCATGGGAGCAAGTCCATGCCATAACAAAGCTGCCAGAGCTCCTGGGGCAAGCTGGGCCCAGGAGCATCGTGTGGTGGCTTCACATGCACACGTGTGCTTTCCAGATACACTTATCGCTCCAAAGCAGGGTGCCATGATCCAGCTGCTAGGATTGGTGGGGCTTTTTTTTGTTTGTTTTCTTTAAATTTAGTAGTTGGGGCACAGTTCTGAACTGGTAGTTGGTGTTGGTGGGCAGAGAAGACCACTTCTCTGGTCTACCAGGAGCCTGAAGGCAGTTCCTTGAGTAGCTTGGGCAGAGATTTCTCAGAGGAGAGCTGAAAGATTTTGAAAGAGAGAGGTGAGATACTGGAAGGGTGAGATGCTTCTGCTCTGCTTTTATTGAGCTAGTGTTTAGCCTGATAACTGCTCTTCAGGAAATTTTAAACATTGCACCCCATCCTAAATACTGAACTGGAGGAATTTGGAGGAGGTGAGGGTGAAGGCAGGTGAAACATCTCAGTGGGGTCGGGGAGGAAGCAGACTGCTTCATGGGTGCTTCTTAAAAATGGAGCATCCGATAGGATAGGAGAAGCATCTTGCAGATGCCTGATCCAGGCCTAAAACCTGTCCTTGGCAGGCACAGTTTAGCAGTAGTCAGAGGTGCCAGGAGCATTTCTCATTCTCCTCTCCTGCCTTTTGGCTTAGATGGGAAGAAAACACCCTGAAATCTCAGAGAGGCTTATGCCCTGTAGTACAGTGCCCCAGCGTGCAGGTTTCAGGTGGCAACAAAAAGCCCTCAGTGAGAATGGTGATGGTTTAATCAGTGTATGTAAATGAAGAGTGCTGCAATGCAGTGCTCCTGACTGCTGAGAAAATGATCTTGGGTTAAATTCGATCTTCAGTTGGTCACAGTTAACTTCATTGGTGTAATTGCTGCATGCTGCCTGTGCAGGGATCGGTAATGACAAGGCAGCAACAAGGCAAGAGGCATGATTTTATTTTACTTTGTATACTCTGCTGGATCCTTGTCATGCTTTTAGCACTTGCTGCGGTTTGTTGTTTGAATGTCAGTGTTGTTTGAAGTTTAATTGCTCTGCTAGCTTTAAGACCCTGGTTTAATGCATGTTTTTTGTAAGTTTGCAGAAGGCACAGAGTTGTTGGTGACACTGAGAATCACTGCAAATCATGTAGCTGAGGCAGAAGAAGGAGAAACCTACAGGGAGCATGGCGCTTCATTCCCCAAAAGTATTTGCATGAACAGACACAACTTCACAGTCTCCTGGTCCTTGCATCAGCCTTTTGTGCATACCAATGAGTTGATTTGAAGAGAAGTTTGATCTCAACCCTGCATCAGATAATGTGGAACTTCTTGCAAAAAAAAGGGAGTTGCACAAGCAAGTATGGCAGGGCAATATGTTTCTGACAGTACACTAAAAAGCTGCCTTGACAGTGAACCATGGAAAAAGGGAGGCATTAGAAACACATGGAAATAATACAGTGTTTGCATAAAAAGTAAGAATGTAACTGAAATCCTGTTGTGCCTGTAGAATCACAGCTCTCTGTGCAGTATCAAATGCTGTATGTTCTTGTTTGAATAGGAGTGACACACTAATAATTTCTCCAGTGCCAGTGTGATGGTCACACTGGGAGGTTTTCCTGAACCCTTTCTTGTAAATATTGCTAGTGCTATGCAGATACAGAAAAAGGACAGTGTAATAAAAAACAAACAAACAAACAAACAAAAAAAAAAATCATGATATAGAAAGGGCAAGGGTTGTGTGTAGGTGCCAAGTTTTATGGCTCTTTTCCTTCATTCTTTTCTTTATCTTCTCTGAATTGCAGGGTACAAAGGACTGATGGTTATGTATTTTTCTGGTAGCCAAAATACCATAAAACCTTAAAGCATTTGGTTTAAGTGGGGAATGTGGTGGGGGTGTAGTATTTTGGGTTTGTTTTCTATGCTGCTCAGTTATGAAGTGCTGTACTGACATTTTAACGCTTATTTCAGACGTGGTCATAGATGTTCTCTTTCTATATCTGATAAAGGCACAGTAACCTGTGGAACCCCTCTGAGCCTGGACCTTAATCTGGGGACTATAGACAAGCAGCTATAGGGAAAGATATGTTTCTGCAAAATCTGTTGCAGTCAAATTGGAAATGGTACCTAAAACAACAGCAAGTCTGGATTTGTGTATTTGCAGATGTGTGGGTTAACAGAAAAAGATGTGTTTTATTTGTATGTGTGTTTGACTGTACTTCCATGGTAAAAATATATTGCTTTTTGAATGCACTTTCTCCCCACTCCTACGTGACGTGAAGACAGAAGTCATTCCCTAAAAAACTTCATGGCTCTTTGACAGAGATGCTGTTCCTGATGTTCCAGTTCTGTTTCAGTCTGGGCAATTTCTTCTGGACAAGTCTCCCATTAGACCAGAAGCAGCAAGAAACTCTTGAGGGGTTGGGTGAAGTTAGAGCCAAATCACTCCAACCCCCAGTTTTGCCTAGCTTTCTGCGTCCTACCCCATGCTGTGCTGCAGTTGTCAGGTGCTAAGCAGCAGGCAAAGACCAGCCTTATGCTGTATACCATCAACAGGGATGTATATAATTTGAAGACAAATTGATGTCCTTCTACCATTCTACATCAGAGAGGACCTCTCTCTATGAAATACATATTTACATCAAAAAATTTTTAGAACACATTAGTTTTAAACTTCACAATCTGCCTTCATAAATGATAGAAAATTTATCCTCAGTGATTTAACAACTTCAGGACTGCATTTGATTAAATATCCATCACTGCTTGACATCTAGGTAATTTAGAACCTTTTCCATTTAGAAAGAGAGAGGCAGCACAAGGTACCAGCCAGGAGTTCAGATGTGTGTAGTTTTAAGTGGATGGGTCTTTGACAGTAGATGGCTATGCTTCCCTAATAGATAGTTTGGTTTTCTAAAATTATGTGATGGTGGTAATTTTATTTTAGCTATTTAATCACTGTTAGGAAAATTAAATGTACAGAATTTAAAAATGGCTTGCTAATTAACCGCTGTGGTTTGTTCTTTGTATTATTTTATCTCCAGATCAGTCGTATTGTCATCGGCTGCAGCACGACATGTACTTTCTTACAAGCAATAGTCGACTGAATGAGCAAGTGGTTGATAAAATTATTCTTCAGCTTAACAGAGTCTACCCCCAAATTCTTACCAATGCAGAAGCAGAAAAGGTAATTTGATGACTATACCTCTGAATGTTGCATTGTGTTTGCGGGTCAGTAGCTCAGCTGCCTTCTTCCTGACTTGACTCTTGGTTCCACATGCAGCCAATCTTCCTCACCTCTTACTTGCTGACCAGTTGTATCTGGGATCTCATATCAGAGGAGAAGTCACAGGGCTGGCACGTTCCCTGTGCCAAGTGGTTATGAGAGATGGCACTCTCTTCAGCAGCAGCTTAATGCCACGGTCCCTGCCATGATGTTTGATGCTGTGCGTGCAGAAGCACACTATCTTATAACTGTTCTGTGGTCAGGATTGCACCCATCCTGTGACCAAATGCCCTGCATGCCTGCCTCCTCACGTAAGTCTGTGTGGAGTGTCGTGTCAGATGATCTGTGCAGCATCCAGCTGTGTACACAAAATCATCTATATTAGTTTAATTGGGTTTAGTTGCTGATTAATGTGACTAATAACTGAGTATTGGTAGAGAAGGGAGGCATTAGTCCCATCTATAAGTGTGGAAGCTGTGGGAAGTGGATGGAGATGGTAACATCTTCCAGTGGTGCTGCTCTGGTATGAAGGAAAGCTGCCCTCCCTGGCATGAAGCTTTCAAAAATAAGGAGCTGTTTCTGGGAAGAAAGGTATTTTAAACTTACGTGGAGTGAAAGTTAAAGTCCCTTAAAAGCTTCCCAAATGCTACCTGTAACAGTTTGTACTTGCCCTTTGCTGACTTGATTGTCTGCACAAGGCTCAGGGTTTTGGCATATTGGTATTTCATCATTAGGAAGAATAGGTCTAATGCTGTCATGATCAGACTCCATGGGGATGAATAGTGTTTTGGTGGTGTAAAGCAGTGCTAGATCATCAGCTTAGCCAGTCTAGCCACTCGGCTATGATAAACAGTGTGACATGCACAATTAAAGATCATCTCATTCCCTCGAGAGGTTCAAAATAAATGCATAAAGAATCTGTGAAATGTAATTTGCGACTTCTGCACTCAGCAGAGAGAAATTAACTGCTTTTGCATAGGTGCAGGCAAGTTCCTGTCAACTCTATTGAGTGTTTAGGAAGTTTACAATCTCAGCTATATCTAGTAGGCCTTGTAGGAATTTTGTCAGAATAAGGAGTGTTGTATAAGGTATGTCACATTCCTGTCTCCCTAGAGCAGGAATTGATCCTAAGTATACTACAAAGGCTATCTGCTGTGATGGTCTGAAATATAATGCTTTGCTGAGAATGACTTTGGACATTTTCCAAATAAGCTGAAATCAATTTGATGTGTGTAAGGCTAGATACATGTTTTCATTCTCTTTGTAAGGTCTCCTAATACTCAGCACATTTTGGACTATAGGAAAAAAGTACTTTCTTTTGCAGCTGCTTGTCATGTTGCCTGAGTGATGAGAATTTGTACATGTTGCACTGGGTACACAGCAGTTAATTGTGCTGGAAACAATGAAACATGTAATCTTGGGATGATGAACACTCCAATATTGGGATTAATGTAAGCAGTATAAACTACGTTTTTGGGTGATCATTACTAGGCAACTAAGGGAAAACTTGAAAATATGAAATTTTATTGTAAGATTTGTTGGTGTTTTCTAACAGCTCTAAGAATCAAATTGTAGAACAGCAAGTACCATGTTAGGTTGAGTGCAGGGAAAACATCAGAGTAGCTGTCACTTTATCAGGACAGAAAAAAAAATGAGGGAAGGCAGAGACAGTATGTTCTCCATCGAGCAGTGCTGACCAGATGGAGCTTAGTGTCTTGAAGACTGCCGTGCACTGCATGTATGACCTTTTTAGGTTCCCCTCATTTTTTTGGCCCATTCTTTCAGCAAATGTAAAACAGGCTCCATATCTTCACTCCTTGGCATACTGTAAAGTGGTGTAAAATTGATCTCCAGCTATTGTAATCTCTCTTCTGATGAGTGCTTTTCTCTTACAGTTCAGGAATCCAAAGGCATCACTCCATACCAGACTTTCAGATTTGATAAAGCACCTTCAAAAGAAAGGAGACAGACACTGTCAAGAGTTTTACAGGGCTCTACAGATCAATGCTGAACAGCTGTATAATGACCTGCCAAGCAGGAAAATCTTGAGTAAGTTGATTTGTAAGTTGATTGAGTTGTGGATTTCCCCGTCAGTGTATTATAAAACCTCACTTCAGATGAGGTTTAGGTTATTTAAAAACTTTTGGGGGTATACTTTAATTCCTTCTGTCTGGCATTTTCCAGAAGCCATAAGGGGATTTGACTGCATAGTTCTTGTTACTTGTTGACTGGTGTGGGCAGTCCAAAACTCTGATTGTTTTGAAATATGTACTTCAGAAGGGCTGAGGCTCAAACTGATTTGATTCTGTACTGCAAAGGAGCTCATTTATTTAAGGAGAAGTATAAAGTCCGACTTGCCAACCTGGGTTAATGCTTGCTACGTGTTGGTGGTTTTTTTTAAATTATTTTTATTTTTTTCCCATTTAACAAACTGGAGAAAATAAAAATGTTCCAAATGGATGGGAAATACGTTCAGGCATTCTGCATACTGAAATGACTTGAGGAGCTTCACTGGTCAGTTGTTTTCTAGTTGTAAGAAATTCCACAGTTAGGTACCAGGGGTAATTTTAGACATGCGGGTCAAACTCCAGTGAGATTCAAACCCTTACATCAAAAAAAAAACCTAAAACAAACAAACAAAACAACAACAACAAAACACAACCACAAAACCAAAACAGTTAGACCTCTTTTATTTCTGGAGTGAAAATGGTATGTAAAATTTTAATTACCCTTGGAGATACTGCATTGTCTAGCCTCTTTTCACCTTTAATTTTGAAGGAAAAGGTTTGTATCTACCCAGAACAAATACATACCAGTGGAAGACTGCACCATTTTCCTGCCTGCACAGGGAGGCTGCAAAGTTACCTCAGGTCTCCACATCCATACCCAAACCCTCTTGAGCTGGGAAAGTCTGGACCCATCCCTGCCTCAGAATCTCAGATGAGCATGAATCCCAACTGATTCAGCCCTGCAGCAGCTTTAGGGCAGTGCTTTCGATCTGATATTCACCTTGCAGAAGTCATGCCTTTTGAGGGAACAGGCTCTTAAATCAAGTGCTCTTGGTTCTATCGCTTTTATTCAGCAGAGCTCAAGAGCGACAGGTTTTTCTGACTAGAAGGCATCTGACAGCCTTTATTAATTAAAAGGAACTTATTAAGTTTTAGTGTAGTCACTAAGAATAAAATTTGAAGAGTGTGTTGATGGTTTGAGAGTTTAAGCTCTGTTAATGTTCAATAACACCTTCTATAAGCCATTTCTGAAAAAGTATGTTAACATACATGTACACAGAGTAGCCGAGGCCTGACTGCATCCCGTATAGATGATCTGAATTCACTTGGGTACTAGAAATAGCATAGTTGTGACCACGTTAATCCGTACCCATAAAACTCACATTGGAAATTGTGCAGATACTGTGAAGATACTCTCGTGCTGTTGTCACAAACCAGCCGAAAGGAAACTTGCAGAGGGTGTCTGTGTGATGTTTTCCCTTTTAGCTAGAGTGTAATCATGCTCATCCTTGCACCTGATTTACATGGTTGCTTCTGAGAGCTTTTACATGGGTAGCCACATGAGTATGCAGGGTTAGGGCTTCTCATGTTCAGACTGTGCACAACAAGTACCTGTACTAGAAGTTCTTTGCAGAAAAAAGAGCTGTTTGTGGTGCCTCAAAACTGTTTTGCGTTATGCAAAGGGGCTCCAGTAACCATCATAAGTCATTAAATTCTGTGTGTCTTGGTACACTCTCTTATGTTACCATCCTCAGAACGGTAAGAATAATTTAAATAACTGAGTTAAAATTACTACTGCATGCTGAGATTCTGCAGTTTCATTATATTGACCTGCGAAGGAAATAATGATATGATTGTATTAATATGTTTGATGCTTCTTATGAGTTCTGTAACTAAAACAAATGTCTGCATTCTGGATTGAATAGTCGATAAACATCTGTGCAGCATTTTAAGCTAAAACAGCAAATAATTTTATTCTTCAGGAAAAAGAATATGAGGTGTTTTTTTTCATTTAAGTGAACATGGACATTTTCAATGAGGTGTTATTTCTCATTTAAGTGAACGTGGACATTTTGAATATTAAAGGCATTATCCTTCAGACCTCTAACATGCAGTTTTATGTTACTCAAATGTTACTCATAGCAGTAATTGTTAAATTTGTCAAATTTAGCACAAAGCATTTACAGAATTGACCGTAGAGTTTGTAAATGGGAAGAAAAAAAGGGAATCCCTAACATGGGGACTTCATTCTAAATGCAGATTGAACTGAAACAAGTAGCATTTTAAATACTTGGAGAAATTATTGGTGAGGACACTGATGAACTATGGACAGGACAGACTTTTGTAATAGATTACCTGCAGCAGTACATATGAAAAATGTTTTGTACAGAGGAAATCCTTTCATGGATTTCTTTTGCATTTTTAAAAGAACTTTAAAATTTGTGCTAGAACAAAATTTCTTTGCCTCAAGTATAATATATTGCAAGAGAAATGTTTAGTAATGTCTCAGAATTCCCACTAGAGGGTGGGTAAGGTGCACAGCATGGGCAACTTTGGAGCTATTGAAGCCAAACAGGATCTTCCAGGTGACTCAGAAAATGTTTGTATTTCTCTCAGGGCTGACATAGACGAGAAAGATAAAAGATCACATCAGCCCCGCACAGTGATAGCCTGGCACAAGTGCGGAGATTTGGCTGTGCTCTCCTGTGAAGTGTGAGGATTTCTTAGCTACAGTACTTAGGGAGGACATGCCTCCAAACAGGCAGGCTATGTAACATTGCCATTGATATTGAGTGCTCCACGGAGGCTTTGAAGCAATCCTTTCTGCTTCAGCGACTCTCAAGCTTTTCAGCAAAGTGCTTCAGATGTTTCTGTTCTGCTTGAATGCCATGCCCTGTCGCCCCACCAAGAGGGACTGACTTAGCGTGGGAGACGGATGTTCACCATCTAATGTTGGCTGGCAGGAGGTCCCCTTTGCTGACTTGGTGTACTGGGCAGTTTTCCAAGGCACCTCACCCAGGTCCAGATTGTCACATAGAAGAAGGAAATCAGTTGAAACCAGTCTCAAATTCTTTCCTATTGACAACCATATTTTGAGTTCTCACTTTTTTTTTCTTTTCTTTTTTTTTTTTTTTTTAACCCTCTTCACCACAAAGAGTTTTGACTAAAAAAGTTGTTTTGTAGCTTCATGATGCATTAAAGGAGAGTCATTCCTCTGCCATTTATGGTGACAGCAGTGTTCTTTTGGTGTTGCCCACATGTTCTGTAGACAATGTCGGCTCCACATATGTATGGCAAAGACACTTCTAAAAGAGCTGCTGATCTTTCTGCCCAAAGCAGAAGCTGCTTTATTGCTGCTGGCTACTGAACATCTTGTCTTAAGCTCAACCTCCTTTTCTAATAGAATTTGCAGAAAGATAGAGGCCAAAATTATTTGCACCAAATGGTGGCATGTAATACCTACACACTTTCAAAAAAGATGTATATGTCTTTAGCTGAGACCAGAATTTAAATAAATAATCTGTGCCAAGCAGGTTGTTTCAAGTGCTCCATCTGCCAGATACATTAATGCCCAGAGATTTACTCAAGAACAGAAGGAATGGGGTTGTATTAAATTACAGGGGTGTTTTCAGATTAGCACATATATTAACAAATAGTTTGTATTTATTACAATGAAAATTTCTGGCATTATGGAAGGATTAGCTCCTGCTTTCCTCACTTGTGAAACAACTGTAATGTTACTTAAGTCATCAGTGCTTAACCAAATCAGAGATGTTGCTGCAGCTATTTATGGTTCCATTCAGATGACTATGTGCCTGTGTCTTTTGATCAACGTATATCCAGATGTCACTGTAGCAATGATTTACCTTTGGAGGGGTTAATATTTTATGTCAAAATTGGATATGTTTCTGAAATGTGTTGTTTTGCACAATTTTGCATGTGCTGAGTATGTTTGTTTGCTTGAGCTGAGTACTAACGTTTCATGTGTTGCTTTTATTTCTAGAAACCACAGATTCCACAGAGATAGACACTGACAAGGAGAAATATATGCTAAATGACAGGGGTAAATAAATGCATACAGTGTCACCGGATGGAATGGCTTTTCAGATTAAGATGCAATTTATTTTATCATGTAATTCGCATTTCATGTAACGAATTGTTTTATGATGTCTTGACTGTCACAAGTTAAGTGAAATTAATGGAGGAAAATGTACTGAACTGCTGTTGAGGAAACCAGTGCCAGGAAATTCAAGAGACTGTAGAGTTTGATCAATATTTACAATGGTATTTTTACTTACACTGTTATAGCTAAACTCTTCATTTCCTATGTTTCAATGCTTGAATGCAATTCAGTGCTTGAATAGTAAGGTCTATTCAGCTGCTGCTGCTGTCATTTTGCATAAGGCCATCAATAATTTTTTTATATCACTTGCACATTTTTTCAGGTTTTTTTTAAGCTTTCAATTTAAGTACAAATCTGTGTTTTCAAATACAAAGACAGACAGGAAGATGGGCGAGAGTGAACTTAAATATATTTTCTTTAGGAAAACATGTTAATTTTTTTACCCTTTCTCTGTTCAATGCCCGGATTACAGAGGCAAATATTTTATTCGCTGGAAGATATTTTGAAAAGAAAATGCAGATCTGAAAGAAAGATGAAGAATTTTCAAAATTTATAATGAACTACTTTGTAATTTAAGTTTAACTGATATTTTATTTAGAAATCTGGATGCAATTATGGGAGAATAAAAGCACCTTCTATGAACAATGCCTTTTTGCTGGTTTTACCCTAAGAGAAAACTGAGAACAGAGAAAACTGAAACGAGGGGCAGAATCACAGTTTAACTCCATGTATATTTTTGCTTGTGGTGTTGTTACTTTGAATATTGAACCAAATTGCTATTCAGATTTTTCACATCGCAATTGCTGACTGCAGCATAGCAGTACAGGAAGAACAGAGGAAGTGCTTGGAAATAAGAAAATAAAATAATTTCTACTTTTACTTATGCTGATGAAAGAGCTGGCCTGAGACAGGAGGTTGTCTGGCTGCTAGCCACCCTCAGTGGGAGACTACAGCCAAAGGAGCAGCCAAGTCCTTGCTCCATTGCTCTTTCTCCAGTGTGCTTGCCCGCGCAGTCAGCTCCACTCATTTGTCAGTCTGCAGTACCTTTGCCCTTAAATTGACAGGTGCAGTTTAATTGTAGCTATATTCACAGTGAAGTAATAAATGCAAATAGAATATTAGATAATTAAGAAGCCGATATAAACTTCTACGAGGTTTTATCTGTGCGTAAGTATGAATTAGAAAGGTTTTATTGAACATCAGTACTGACCATCAGTATTAAACTGCATGTAATTCCAGGCAGGCACACAAAGGAAACGTTTCAAGTGGGAGATTTGTTTTAAGTGTGTATGCAGCTCTGCATTTCAGCTCTCAGCAGAATTGTAAACAGGAACAAGAATACTTGCTCTTGTCATGCAAATGGAATTTATGGAACATCTGTAGGGAAAAATCAAAACCCTAGAAATCTGCTTCTGTGGGACTACATTCTCATATAATGTACTCTTACCTGCAAGCAGTGCGTTGGTCCAGTGAGGGCTCTTTGTGAAGTAAAACGTTACACTGTGTAGGGAGGTCCCAGTAGTGCGATCTGTATTTTGCTGTAGTGTTTAAAGGGGTTTTTGCACAAAGTTTTAACAGTGAGAAGGCATCTAAGGGAGCTTTCACTTAAATTTCATAGGATATATCTAGATGAACAGAGGTGAACAGTGAATGGTGTCAAAGCAACCGTAGTAGAAATTAATTAGTATAGTAAATGTGCTTCATAGTAGATTAGCTACAGAGCATACATAATTACAAATGTTTTAGCTTCATTTGAATATACTTAATTATGCATATTAATAGGAATTGATGATTTATGAACTGAGCTAAATTTCCCCTGCTCTGTTCTGCCTTAATGTGTTTTCTCTCTTGTTTTCTTTAGGTCCAGTGTTTTTCGTTGCTTGTTTCAGCGTTGCTGCAGGATTTGCATTATTTTGGTATTGCTGTAACTCAGGTAATCTACTCCAATATTTTTTCTCTTGATTTCCCGACTTTAGCATGGGACAGGAGTGTGCCTCTTGATCTACCATGGCTTACTTAATAGAGCAGGTCAAGGCGTCATCATTCATTAATGAGGCTGGGATACAAATTGCACTTCAGACATGCTGAGATATAAATAATGGATAGTTTGCTTACAGAAGATGCCACAAATAGGGGCTCTTTTTAAAGACAGTAGTCATGTGAGCTCCTGTTGCTATAGCAGTGGGTCATGATTCCCAGTAGTCATGAGACATACCCAAACCTTCTGGCTTCCACGTCCCTTGGGAGCTGGTTGAAGCATGACCAGTGCCAGGGCTGGAGGACACTGGCTGGATTTGCGTAGCCTGAGCAACTAAAAACTGTTACCCCTGCTGCTGGCTCTGGGCATTAGCTCCCCTTGTCAGCTGAAAGTCACCTTCACAGCAGCTGGCAGAGCGGAGCTCCTGCTCCCCTTCACAGTCCTACCTTCCACTAACCTACCGTTGCTGTGAGAGCAGCAGCTCTTGGCAGAAAGCGTGTTGATGTGGCCACATGAATCGGCTTCCGTGAAGCGGTGAGTCACTGCTAGTGGGAGAAATCCAGGGGGAGAGAGTAGCTGATGCAGAGGTGTCGCTTTCAAGTCTTCGCACGGTGCTGTGGGAAGTGCCAGTCCTCACATGGTAGATGGGGAGCAGAATCTAAACTCCGTTTTGGTTTAGTGCCTTCTGCTCCTCATACCCTGGTCACAGCAGTTACAGTTGGACATTGTTCTTTACTGCTTTTTTTTTCCCAGAGCTATAGGCTACGATAGCACCAGTTCATGATATTTCAGGTGATGTGGGAGTCTGGGCTGTGTTACCCTTCATTCCCAGATCGGAGTCCATCAGCTGGACTGTCCATGGAGTCAGGGTTTAAGGCTAAAAGGGAACCATTAGACCTTCGAGGCTAACCCCTGTGTTTCCTTAGCTGCCATCACTTCATCAGGTTCAGTCACCACCATTTAATAGAAGCATTTTCAGAAAAGCATTCAAGGACTGATACCAAAAATCCCAGAGAATCCCTCACTTCCCTTGATCCCAGTTAGTTGTCCATAGTATTAGAAGTGTGTGTTCTATTCTCAGTTTGAACTGGTTTCAGCTCCAGCCTATCATTTTTGTTAAGCCTTTATCTGCCACTCTGCAGAGCCCCTTAGCCCCTTGTTTCTGTGCCAGGTCACATTTCATGTTTTCTCTCTGTGGATGTCCTTGTGCCTCAAGTCAGCTCTCTGTCTTTATTTTTGCTAAAATTACCAACTAGTCTCTCCAAGTCTTTTGTTCCAAGGCTCGTTTTTTTCCAGTTTTTAGCATCTTTCCTCTACCTATGCAGTATGTCAATGCCCCATATGTAACAGGGCCACCAGACCTGGATGTGGTGTTTCAGGCTTGCACCGTGCGGTGCCGTGCTCAGATGTAAAGCTGCCCCCTCACCTAGCTCAGTAATCCCCCCTTCGTATCTCTGAACGTGCAGCAATGAATCCTAACAGAGTCATCGTTATCCTGTCTTCACAGCTGATATATACAGTATTGAGGGAAATGGGCTTTCCTGTAAAGTAACTTTTTTACATTGTTTTTTATTTTTTGTAGATGCTGCTTACTATCTAGAATGATACTTGACTGTGTTCACTTTCTCTTTTTCATCCTGTCTTTATTCTGTTTTAGATACGAAAGTCATAGGAAGAGCCAGGAGAATCTTGGGCTTTTCTCCTATTATTATAGGAAGACATGTTAGAAATATTTGTATGTTGTATTTGGAAGACATACCAAGAAATTAAGGAAAAGCTGCCTCTTCATTTGTCTATACAGTATACCTGCCAAGGGAAGACAGCGGTGCATGAATATTAATGTACTATACTCTCATACCAAAGATTTTATTAACTCGCATCATTAATAATTGTGTTGCCTCAAGATGTATTCAGAATTTCAGCTATGTATGTCCTTCCTGATGGGAATGGACCATTTATTTTTGTAAATGCTTATTTTAAAATATTTATCATTTGGAGAAAAAATATTTTTAATACAAACTTTAAAATGATATCCTAAGTGACCGTGGGTCTTAAGCCATGTTTGCGTATGTGTTTTATACTGGAATGAAGGATCACAACTGTTTCAAGAATACTAGCCTGTCTTTTGTGATAATTCATTTAAAAAAAGCACTTAAAAGAAGACGTGCACTCAAAGCCTTACTAAGAAGTGGATCTCCATCTCAGGATTGTCTGTTTTGTCTAGATCCTTTGTATTTACTGCCTGAGCTCAGGTGGGTGCTGGCACCTACGAAGTTTATCAGTGCCAGTTAACTCTGTGTATGCCTAGTACTTGCCGTGTTTTGTAACTCTCCTGTTCGTGCCTCATCCCAGCCTGCCTTGTTCATGTTCACACTCAGCTGTTGGCTGTGGTTTGCATGCACTGGAGCTCGTGCAGACTGGCTCCCAGCCTGTGGAGGGTCCCAGGGGCTGGAATGTCTGATCTGAAACACGTCAAACTACCAGGAAGATTTTTCAGATTTGTTTCGCTTTTCCTTTTCCAGTGAAGTGTTTTGCAGTCTGTCTATCTAAGAAACTGAAGTAATCGTAAGATACTTTGCAGGGACTTAAGTACCACGACATGGGGCTTTTTTTATGGCCAAAAATGTGTATGCTTACTAGAAGAGCCTGAGGTTGTTCCTAATGTCATTTGATGTTATGTTTTCATTCGGTGAGTTGAAACCTGAAAGACTTGCACAAACCATTGTAATTCTTGAGAGAGATGCAGGGAGCTGGGGCTGCAGGTGAAGCAGTTTGGGGTTTCTTAGCTTGGTCCTGCCTAGCTCAGTACAAATGGCAGTAGTTCTGAACTGGCTGTAAGAAACGACATTTTAAGTGGATAGTTCTTCAGTTAGCTGCTCCAGAGTGTAAGGAGCTTGGGGAGACCATGTCCCTGTACTTGGTGAGAAAGATGCTTTGTGGCTCTTCATTCACTGACTGAATGAAGAGATTTCCAGATCAAATCAAATATCACCTGAATAAAAATTGCAGCTACATTACAAGTTACCATGCACTGGAGGATCCCATGTGAAATTTTCAGTCATTTGGAGTTGTTTTTCTCAGAACAGTCAGACTGAAAATTGTCTTCCAGCTTTAAACTTTATTCATGCTATAAAAATGTCACCGTCTTCTCCAAAGCAAATCATCTTGTAGTAATTGTATGTCCTTCCAGGACAGCATACACCTGATACAGTAATAAGCATATAGTCCAGAGGAGGAATTGGGTACAGGGCTAAATTTTCAAATAAAAGACCCCAAGAGTATTTGTGGGAAATGTCTTGAGAGATGAAAAAGGGCTCAGAGGATGCTGATTTTACTCTTCTGATAAAATGTTTTTACCTAAGGCATTGGTGTGTGGTTGGGACGTGAGGCAACCCCATGTAGAGGTAGCCACAGCCTTCATTAGGTCGAATCTCAAGAACAGATGTTGTGTCTTTGGGGCCATCGCTCGTGGGAGTGCAGCTCATCTCGAAAGACCCAGGTGGAATCAGATGGGCTGCAGGGATAACCCTACAGCCACGTTGTAAGTCAGCACAAGCTGTTTGGTTCAGTATTTATTCCAGCTCTGGGAAGACGAGCTCCCAGGTGCCGGGTTGACACTGTGAACAGTGCCTTTGCCAGCCACGCAGCTGCAGCCTGCTCCTTGGACTGTAGAGCTGGCCGTTCCCTGACCGACAGCTCCCCTGGTGTAACTGTGCAGAATCTACAGAAGAGTTTTCTGTGGAGACAGGTAGACATACCCCGGGATCAGCAGTGGCCTGAGAGATATTATAAGCCTGACTGCTGCAGTGTAAAATGTGGAATGAGACAAATGCCGTGTGAACAAAGTACCACCCAGCAGGGCTGTTTGTTTAGACCTCTTTGCCCCTGTTTCCACCCCACCAGCTCTTGCGTCTCTTCAATCTAATCTCCACGGGGACTCATTAGTGAGAAAATGCTGATGGAACTGAGCATGTTTCCTACAAAACTAGCTAATCGCAAGGCTCTGCTGCCCTTGTTACACAATGATCTGCTGTTGTGCTGCCTTCCATCTTGGGAAGTGCTTTAATTCTGTTGTTTTTGTCTCTGCCTTGCCTTGTGTTCAAGGTGACAACAGGTTTTGGGTCTTTTTCCTCCGGGAAAACAGCTCTAATTTATAACATTTGAACTGAAATGCTCCTTTCCTCACAGATGCTTACCTCCTATAGCAGCCCCTTAAGGGACTAGAAAAACTACACCTGAAATCTAAAGGGGTTTTAAATCTTTGCCTTGAAGCCAACTTTGAAACCTCATTAGATGAACAATATTCCATTTTACAGAAAAAAAAAAAATTCTTCAAAGTAATCACAGAAGCCACATCTCATTTTGAAACAGAAACAGAGGCCTTATTTCTGCTAGGCAGATTCTTCTGTTTAGATTAGCCACCGTGTTACCTTTTGAATAACAGATTGCAAATTGTGAGCTGTTACTGAAACCTACAGAAGTTACCAGTGCCTTATTTAATCTGAAGGTGAGAATCTGCTATACTTACTGGGTCAAGGATGCCTTGCAGTGCAAGGAACCTTCTCAGGTTGATAAAATTGCCCCAGGAGTACACTGGCTGTGCATTAGGACACGGTCCTCCCAGTTCCTTAAACCCAGGGGCTTTCTTGAGCCTTGTTAACCACAGGGAATAGGAAAGCTTACTAAAGGCTATGGCTGTATTTCTTCCCTTTCTGAGGTTGCTTGAGATGAAGATGCCTTTCAGGGGAAAAAAAAAAAATCCAGGATGAGCTATGCCCAGTGTTAGGACTGGGAAGAGAGAGGAAAAATGAGTCTTGGTTTATCCCAGTGTTGTTAGTTAAAGGACGCAACAGCAAAGAGTAGGAAATAATCTGTTCCTTTATTATTGCTAGTTTTTAATTTAAAAAGTAAAAGTGAGGGTAGCTGTAAAATTGTCACGTGCATAAGCTGGGAGACATTCTTTCTCTTGGAAGATTTTTCTTTAGGGAACAAAAAGTGAGGTTTAATACACTTCTCTGCAAGCACATCTATGCAGCACATGCAGACAGCAGATGAAGTGATAATTCCATCTTCAGTTCCTTAAGGAAGCTTGTATGTACCTGTGTGGGAGTCAGGTCCTTCTAGGCAAGCAGTGTTATTTACTCTGAAATAAATCACATGGGGCCTTGGATGAGCTTGTGTTGCTGCAGAATGCCAGCTTCCCTGTCGAGTCAAGAATAGCTTGGCGTTTGCTGCTGAAACTGTACTGGTATTTAGGAATGTGCTTTACTTTATGTGCAGGGAAGTTGTCCTGGCTGTGCAAAATTCAGCAGGTGATTACATGTGCAGAGGATAGAGGCTATTCTTGTGAATGCTGTGGTTCTTGTGCTGTAGACAGTAAACATACAGGAGCTAATAAAAAGCAGACATATTTTCAACATACCCTCTCTCACCTTGTGCAACTCTCGTTGAAAAAGTAAAGTGTTTTCTTTTCCCTACAGCATAAACAGCACTGTCCTTTAGCGGCGCTGTGGGCTGAGGAGTCAAATGGCTATTGCATGAGGGATGCTGTCCTGGCGGGCTGATCGTGGCTCTCGGGAAAGAGATGAGCAAGGAGAAGCTGTGGGCTCTGGAGGGTGGGAGCGTGCAGATTGTCAAACAGTTGGTGTCCCTGCCAGCTTAGACTCTGCTCTGCAGCGAGCACCTTGCACATGGAGTTGCTGCAGCTCCCACCAGGGACTGTCCCCCTTTGCTGCTTTGTGACTTGGGTGTGAATCCTGAGGGGAGGGAAGGGGGGATGAGCTCCACACTCTTCAGCCTGGAGGACTCCTGATACCTAGCCATAAACCATCTTCCCTCCTTGTCTTTTTCTTATGAATGGGCTTTTTGATTTAAAGTAAAGCTGAACTGCCTCTGTCTTGGTGGTAATTTTGAGGCTATCTGGATTCAAGGACAAGAGTTCGCCAGTGTGATAAGCCCTCAGCAGAGCATGCAGGCAGCTGGCCCAAGCCATATAAACAGTTAAGGCAAGAGTGTCTGCATGCAGAGAGCGCTAGGAAGCAAAGTGACAGATCATGCAATTAATTTTCACAGTTCCATTTAAAGACAGACTGCTATTTAAAGTACTTCAGTGAAGTATGATGTGCCTGCAAGCCAGAGCTGGAATAAAGTGATAATTCATTCTGGGACATACTGGGCTACTTCATAGCTGCTGGCTAGAGTTTTCAAAGCTGCTGAGGCAAAGTTACTCTTTTTGTTTCTTTCACTTGTGATTTTTTTTTCTCATACTGTAATAAATTGAAAACAGATTTGGTCAAAGTTTGCAGTTGTGGATGCTTTTCAATGCTGTTCTGTATGCACAAATGTTATTCCCGAGAGATGCCATGCCATAGCTGCATAATCAGCGTTGATGTTACACTAAGAAATGCAGTTTGCTGTATTTCATAGGTCCTGTGTTTTGTAATAATTTCTCCTAATGTATGTCTTCTTGAATTCTGTAGACATTAATGGAATTTGGTTTTTAATGAGGTGAAGCTGGCAATTAAATTGAAATAAAATCTGTACTGAGAAAAAAAATGCTGCTGTTTTTCTTGTAGTTAATGCTTTGCACTTCCTTGTAGAACTGCTCCTCAATGTGTTGCCCTCCTGTGGCTGCTGTCTGCCAACTGACTCCCTCCTCATCTCTGCTCTGTCATGGTTAAATTTTTATTTTGGTTATTTGTGGCAAGATTTTTAACATTTTCATCTGCTTTCAGAAATCTTTGCAGTTTTTCTGCTTAACTTGTTTAGTGACCTGAAGTTAAACAGAACACATCAATGCAAAGACTGAGTGACTTCTGGATAAGCCTTGACTTTGTGTCATTTTGGTAGTCCAATGAATCATTGCCTATCAAAACTTGTGTGGAGCCCTGCCTCTTCTTGGTAGAAAGTGATTTTGATACGAGATTTATTTTAAGGGCTACTTTGGCCACCCAAATAGGGACTTTGGGTAAGAAAAATATACAGAAAAATCTATTACTGGCCTGTTCTTTTGGGTAAACTTTGAAGGAGGATCTGCTGGCCCACATGCTACTACAGGCAGCATTAAGGATCCTACCAAAGCAATGTGTTGCTGTAGCAGGAGAAGCTTCAGGGGCAGTCACTGACCTGCAGCCTGTATTTCATCCCCGGCTGCAACACTTCCCTTGAGGTCCAAGAGGACCCCCGGAGCCTTGCCACCTTCCCGTCGGACATGAAACGCTGATAACAGGGGTTGGGTTGTCAGTGTCAATGGAACACGGTCTCTTGTTGAGGTTACTTGATCAGCAAGAGAGAGTGTCTTCACCCTTTGCCCTCCCTTGGAGCGTCTCTGTCCGATGAGCTGGAATGAGAGTCTCTCCCCACCTTTCCTACTGACTGGTGTGTGGCTCTTCAGAGGAAGAGCGAGGGGAGCAGCTCTATTACCAGGAGGCCATGCTTCAATCTGTGCTGAGCAGACACGCGGTGCCCTGGCGCGCCTGGTGCCAGGAGAAGGGACTGGTGCAGAGCTTTTCTTCATGGATGTCACCAGGGTTTTGATGTGAGTGAAAAAATAGCCTGATTAAGCTACAAACCTGTAGGATTTGGGGGAGGGGGGTTAATTTTCATTATAGCTTCAACTCATCTACTACATAGGGCTATTATTAATGCCAAATGCAAAAGAAACCAGTGGCTAGAGATGAGACAGGTATGCAGCAGCATCGCCCTGTTTAATTCAGTGTAGCTGCTTTGGCATAAAAGAGCATTTCAGGTGAATCCTGACCTGCCCTTTCTATTTTGGAGCACAGGCCGCTATACACTGCAGTTGCAAGGAAAACCTTTCTGCCATGTTGCTGCCATTAATTTTTACTAACATTGTGCCTAGTAAAGCAAAAACCTTTCAGACTTGCTCTGCGCTTCATGAACTGATAACAGGGGAAATCAGGTGCCAGCAGCCGGAGTGCCACAGCACCTGAAGCCAGCTGGCAAGATGTGTCCTTATACCAAGTCCCCTCCTTTCAGTAGCAAAATACTTCATCACACACACTCAGCGGGGGTCCCTTTTCTTTTAGGCCACAGTTTTAGCTACCCTGGGGGTTTTGCAGCACCCAAGCCCCCTAGCCCCCATCTGGATGATGCTCTGTGCCATGCAGCAGCTGTCTCACACGCAGCACCAGCTCCAGCAATGGCCTTGGATGACAGCCCTGCCTGGTCCCTGCGGCTACCTCCCTGCTGAATGCCACAGCACTGCGTTAACAGAAAGGGAGAGATCGAAGATTATTTTTCCTTTGTCTGCTCTGAGCTAATTAATTTTAAAATCTCCTAGCAGAAGTTGAAAATAGGATGCCCGTGCCTCTTAAATATTCCTGATCCGTAATGGTTGCACACAGCTGGGTTACGCTTCTCATCTGTAGAGGAAGAAAACCACCCACTGAGACTAAGATCTCCAAATCTACCTGGGGCTGAGAAGCACACTGTAAATCTCTGGAAGAGGTGTGTTACCCTGCTCCCACGACTGCCTGGGAAGAGCTCAGCCCTCTGTCCCTCTCCCACCCATCTTGTGCCCTGGGGTGACCTTTCCACTTGCCTAGGTGTTTCACTTTTAATAAAGATTTATTAAGAACATTCCCAAGCACAAAGTGGATTCTGGGTATTTTCTGGGAGGGAGAAGAGGCAAAAATATCAGTGCTCTCCATTCTACCAATTCCAGCTTAGGGCTTGTCCTGACTGGGAAGGACAATACATTCTTTAATATTCACAGTTCTCCAAACCAAAGGGTTGCTCCTGAGCAGAGCTGGTGCTTCCTGCCCCTTTCTCCTGCCATACAGGCTGGCGGGGGGGCACAGAGCTGCCCAGCCCCACTTTGGTGGGATACAGTAACCCAGGCCCTGGGGTGGTGCTCGGGATGCTGGCGCAGGGGAAACAAAGGGTGGCACAAGGGAGACAGGCGCCGTGCTGCAGTAACCAGCCCTGACTGGCGACAGCTCTACTCCCATGCTTTTTCCTGCACACCAAGAGAGAAAAATCCAGAATTCATCACTACTTTCACATGCAAAATTCAACCCATTGTGCACAGATGAGCACTGACTGGTCAGAGGCTGTGCTGGATGCTTCTAGATGTGTTACAGACTCCAAATGGACACCTTCATATGCTCCTGGTAAATTTTGCTTGCTGCCCTACACCTTACAAAAGCTGGCTGTGTTCTGGAGGATTAGGGTCCTGCAGAGGGGATGTTCTTGTCCCATCACTGTGAGCAGGGGACTGGACCCGCTTCTGGATCTCTCACCTACAGGGTTTATAAGACAAGTGCAGGAGCTTGTTCTCCCACCCTTACATCATATAACACTCTGTGCCTGCTTTGTTTTAGTTTTTTGCTGGTTTATGGTTATGCAGCAAGTTGCAGTTAGAGCAAATAAAGCTCATCCTTCACTCTGAGGTCCCGTGTGTGCTTCTTGGAGCTAGCTTGAGTCACCCTGATTTATCACTGCTGCTTTTCACGGCTCTGGAAGAACTCCATCCTTCCAGGAAGATAGTTTATAGTAGGTAGGAACCAAATTCAAAGTCCAGGTATAACAGGTAAAATGATAACAGAAAACAGTAATTATTCATAATAATAATAATTTAGATAGCATTTTTCTGTGAAAGAGCTGCAAGGGCATCTTTCTGGGTATTCCCAGGCAGGGAGCATTGTGGAGCACAGGTGAAACTTGCATTGACTAGCATGGAGCCATTAAGAAACAAAGTAGGAAGGAAATTCGCCATTCAGAGCAGGATGAAGTTCAGCCCTGGATGAGTCCAGACTGGTCCTGACTCTGGAAACACAAACAGGAAGATTCCTTATTCCATCACGGCCTCTCTGCAAGCGAAGGGGATGTGCAAACTAAACAAAACAATAACAGTGACATCTGGTTTAAAGATGTCGGCATCTCTATTTGATAACCATGGTCCCTTCACGACCCCGACGAGATCTACCAATGGGGCTGCGGGAATTGGGGCTTTCAAACCTGATTTTTATCCGCACAGAGAAAAAAGAGCTTTTACGGAGTGTGAAGGAGACTACTGACCAACAGAGGCCCGTCGTAGCTTGTTCTCACACTGCTCCATTTAGTGCACTTCTTACAGGTTGATTTTGTTAAGTCACATTCCCAGAATTTTAATCTCCATGAGCCATGGAGAGGCCCAGGGGGGAAATACAGGGATTTCTTTCTGGAATGGTGCTCTCCCTGGCATGCCTGATGAATCATATTTTCTGACACAGAAAAAAATAAATCCTGTTTCAGGGTGAAGACACATAGCTGTCTCCCTCCATAGTTGCCACAAGTCCAACACAAATGTGAAATGTAAGACCTTTCCAATGCTTTAAATTATTGTCATCCTTGATGTCAGAAAACTGGGGTAATGTTAGGTGGTGATGAAACTGGTTTATTCTCAAATATTTTTGGCACCAGCAAAAATGGTTGGCAACGTTTCAGGAGTCCTGGTATGGCTCTTTGTACCATGGTACCAGATTTACTTACATTTAAAACCTGTACTGTAAAAAGAGGGTTGGGACTGGCTCTGAGCTGGAATATTGGAAAAAGGAGGAGGAGGAGGAGTGGAAAGCATCATGAAGGAGGCTGGAAGAAAAAGTAACCAGAATTTTTGCAGTTCCCATTTCTGACAAAGCCCGACTTGCCTGATGATCAGGCATTGGAAAGTGTCTGTTGTCTGTTCGGGAGCTGTGGCACTCCCCTTGTGAAGGCAGGCAGGCTATTAAATAGTTTTCATTAGAACAGTGGGGCTGAGGCCGTGTGTGCTTTTAACACAGAGTAAAGAATTCAATCAGCGTGAAAATGTGAAAATTTTCCTTGCAGAAGAAGCCTTTGAACACCACATTCTTTCATGTCAGTCTTTTTGCAGTGTGTGTCCTTACCATGGCTGGTGTTTGCTCCCTGACACAGCCAAGAGCCACCTCCTAGCAGTGTGAACATTTCCATTAGCTCTGTCCATGTTCCTGCCCTCCCAGTGCTGTTCAATGTGTTCAAACGGCAGGATGTGACTAAACGATGGGGGGGATAAGGGTAAAACTCTGGGTACAGCTGGCACATCACCCTGCAGCGTCTGGGCTCTGCTCAAAGAGCCTGCTGTGGCCATGCAGTTATTTATCTCTTCCTCAAATGCTTTATCCCATTTATTTCTTGCTCTAGTAATGTCTTCTCTTAGCTTTTGACTCCGGCCCAGCCTTGTTGATCACCTGAGAACATTAAAGGGCTGCAGCAAGACCCCTACGTGACACCAGGGTGAATGGGGTTCTCCCTTCAAGGAGCTGAGAGTGGCTCCTATCTTGCTCCTTATATATTGCAGTTGTAAAACAGCAACCCCTCCTTTTTTCCAGGGGAGAAAGACAGCCTGCTCCTCAGACATGTAGCTTTCCAAGAAAAAGGTGGTGGGAATTTGGAACACAGCAAACTTTGTTCTCTTTTGCATGCCTCCAAATGGGTATTTAGCTTGAGCTTAGTAATAGTCCTGAGACAGATTCTGCATACTTTCCAAGACTTTTGACCATGGTGCTTTGTGCTGTTGTATGTGAAAGCTTCTAAAATAAAAATGGAAAGCTGAAGCGTTATTTCCCAAAGGAGAACATCATCTCATTTCCCATCACTGTGGGAGGTTTCTTCCAAGATACATACTGTCCTCTGGGGTAGTTCCTTGGGGCAAAATCTGCATCTGAGCATACTGGTGTGGTGGTCTTTACAATACATTAACTTCATTTCAAGATCATTAAATTTGTATATATTTAAGTGATGTTATCCATGTTTAGAAAAAAAGTATTTACAAATAGCTACCATCTGGTGATAGCTGGGGTACCACTGTTTCCGGACTTATTCTAAGGGAAATGCAGTATCTATGCTATTCTTCTGTAGTAGCCTTTCCTGAATATTGGTTTAATAGTGATAATACCAAATGTGTTGTCTTAAGAACTAAACAGGAGTACGTCTGCTCTGCTAGATCATTTCCCTACAGACAGCGTAACAAAACTGCTGGGAGTATTCAGAAGCTCTCTGTTTATTACTTTTTAATTTCTTAATGGAAGTGTAGGGTTTGTGGGGATTGCCATGCAAAGATGGGGGGCTCCACATCTCACATGTGGATATTATGCTTATGTAAATAACCTGCAAATCATTTATTTAAAAGCAAAACACTGCCATTTAGCAGCAATGTGGTTTTTCTTGCACGCAAACAACTATGGAGAGCCTGCTTCTTTCCAGGCTCACTGCTTCTACATGCTCTATGCTGCCTCTAATATTATGGGAGATGTGGTGATTCATTTTTAAGGAGTGCTATGTTTAAATATGCAGGTTAACAAAGATATGTTATACATACGAAAACGTATCATAATTTTTCTTCTAAATGTTCCCACTGCCCTACAGTAAGTAAATACACTTTCAGTAGTCTGTTCTCCTGTAGTTTGACAAAATGAAATTGTAAGTTTTTGGGGATTTTTTTGAAAACAAACTGTAAAACAGTGCATAAATTGGTACCACACGTGGCATTTCCTGAACCAGATAAAACTTATAATGGCAATACCTTTGGTAAGCTAGGAAAAGAGCAGACCCCAGCATTTGGATTCTGTCACTCATTTCTGATAACTCTTTTGTAAATATTTGAATGATCAAGATGATCATGTTTCTTCCAGCTGTTAACAATGAAGGAGCATCCAAGCTTTTCAGGTAACACATAGTCAGAAGCCTGTGCCCTGGACCAAGGAGATGTGCACATGGCACCAGTACCTTTGGTACAGGGCAGTGAGCTCCAGTCAACCAGTACCTGTGCCAAAAAGTGGTTGGCAGGGCTCAGTGCAACTTGCGGGAAGACATGGCAGAAAACAAGATAAAGCATTGGTTACAATAAATTAAAAGGAGTTATCAAACCCTCTCTAGTTCAGCCCGTTTTATGTAATGCTCAGCTGTAGAATAAGCTTCAGCAGTGACCTAGTTTAGAAGACAAATACTTACAAGTCAGTTCCAGTAAATATAGTTGTTGTCACCTGCTCCAGTAAATACAGCTACACGGAAAATTTCAACCCAGACAGTCCTAGATGCTGAAGGGACTAACAAGAATGACCAGAGCAGCATGTGTAATTCTAGCTCTGCTCAGCAGCTTATGAAACAGAAGTAAACGGATGACCTGGCATGAACCGTTTCCCACGACAGCCTGTAAAAATTCATCTCGCTTCATTATTGATGACCTCTTCTTAAGTGAAATGTTTGCCTGCAACCAAGACCTCTGGAGAAGCACAGCAAACGAAAGAACCATCTAAACCAATGCTTTTGTTTGCCACCCCCAGGAAATATTCACTAGGATTTTAAATAAGTACCTGACTTAAAAGAATAATAATCACGTGATTAAATTATTTATACTCGAAATCAACTTGCAGATGCTTTTGTCTTTTAAAAAATACATGATCTCGGAAGGTTTCAGAGACTTAAAACACAGATTGCATGCTTGAAGACATTTTGCAAATCTTACTTAATCGCAATAAACGACACAGTAATAAACCAGCATCCTTTTTATTTAAAAAAGAGACATTCAGTTACAAGTTGAATACTGCTGATGCCCAGTACAGTCTTGTAGTCAGATGGATGCTTTCAGTTCAGATTTTCGTGTGTTTAGAACCAAAAGAGACCAGGCTCTTTGAAGTTGCACGTATCTCTTTTGCGATGTTGCAGTCACGCTGTCAGGAGCTCGGGAGGCAGAAGGATTCGTAGGGGGATTTTTGTTGTTGTTCTGAGCCTGGATATGGCAGACTTGAAGTGAGCAGACACCTCCTCCCCTAACGCAGATCTCCACATCCAGCTCTTGGCACCCAACAATGTGTTCGAGCTTGAAGTACTTTTCCTTTCTCTCCTGGACGTCCCCAAACCTGTGCCTTGCAAAGTCCATCGGAATCTGCCGTTGACAAGTCACTGCCTGGTGAGCGTCCACTACCCTACTGCTCTGCAGCCAGTCAGTTCCACAAGCCACTGGGAGTCTTGGTAGTTTCTGTTGGACAACAGCTTATCAGCGAAGATGCTGTAAGAAGAGCTATTACCTTTTTCAGAAGAAACCTACTGTAACAGCTTGTTTGCTTGAGTGACCTGAAAATTTATGATCCAATAATGAGCGGAATAAAATGGGAAAAGACTTGGTACATCTGTACTGCAGCCACCCTCAGCCCTCCTTTCAAGTGGTTCAGTTAAGACAAACATGCTCATGCTCATAAGAAGGGGCCATGGCAGTAAGTGGCACAGGAATGGAAAACTACATTCCAAATTGGGCCAAATCACCACCAAGTATATATATGTAAGCATCAGTAGAGCCTGAGCATCTGTTTGCATCTGCCTTTAGGGTAGTATGGACAAGTCAAGAAGTGTGAGGATTAGCTAGGTCCAGAAACACATTTTCTTCCTATTTTTGTGCCTTGCTTAAAAGCAGAAAGATGAAAATCTGGCAATGAAAAATACCTAATATTCATATCTAAGTTAAAAGTAACTATCTTTTGGATGGGTAATGGTTTTAGGACAACACAAAGCAACTACTTCAGATATCTAACTTAGGTGCAAAGTTTCCTGTACAGAACAGAGGTAGCTGCATCCAGAGAGCCGCTCCAGACTGAATGAGAGGCACAGATGGGAAAATACTCCAGTGAGTAAAAAGGTGAAAGGTAACAAAGGTGGTACAGTCAAGAATCTTATCAAAATTACTGCCCGATGTTAAGCCACAGATAAGTTTGGAAGGACTGTGCCTACAGTTACCTATTTTCTCCAAAAGAAAGGTTTGGGTTTTTTTTTAACATTTTCAGCACTGCTATTTGGCTGGCCAATTCCCTACACCAGAGCATCAAAACTGTAACAGCACAAATATGTAGGAATAGTCCTTCAACAGTTTGCTGGTTTATAAAAAATACATAAGGAAAAATGTCCTGAGTACCTTATTCAGAACTTATTCTGAGCTACGTTAATTTAGTACAACACATACAATTAAAATCCTTGCTTGCTAGATATTGGTTAAATACATGTTAAGTAGCAACAAAAGACAAATTAAAAATCAAAAAATAATGTTTATTCCATGACTAATCACAAAAGCTTCTGATTTGTTTTCTGTTAGTAATTCTTCCAGAACATGTAAATGAAGATACGGTACATCAACGGGCCTTGAGAGATAACTGAAGAGAAATGTGATCAATAAAAATTGGAAATGAGGTGAGACCCTTGAAAGTCAAACTTCTATTAATATTTGCAAGGTAACATTTAAAAAATAAGAGTAAGGAAATGTATTAGTACAAATCTGCATCTACAAGTAAGCACAATCTAGAAAACTAGGATTTTTCTGATTGCAGATGTGATACTTTGGAAATAAAATTACTGAAATGTTTCCATTGTAGAAATTTTTATAACCTACACCATTACTAGCAATAGTGTATTTAGAAAAAGTGTCAGTCCCTGAGCCAGCAGGTAAGAAACTAGAAGATATTTATATGTCTCTGTATATATTTAAAAATAAAAATTAAAAAATCAGTTATGCTTTTAGCCATAAACTCATAAGAATAACACAACTGCAGCAATCAGTCTTGGGAAGAGAAGAGGGAAAGTAAGTTATAGAGGGATAAACTTCTCTAAATTTACTACTTGAATTGCTGACAGGCACTCAGTACCAGCTTAGCAGGTAAAGTTCACCCTATAGTCTCTATTTTTCCAGTTGGGCCTAGAACAGGTAGTGCTTCTAATACAGTTTCCAGAAATATATGTAATGCACAGAATATGGATCATAGCAGTTAATAGTAAGAAACTATAAGCAACTAGGTTATTTGTGTGTCTGTGCAGAAAAGAGGGGAAATTTTCAGGGTGGTCCAGAGATGAAGAAACAGGACAAATGAGTACCTGTGAGCACAAGTGGACAAAAGATAACCTGCTGTTTCTGCTTGTCTCATCTTTGCTTTAGCTAGAGTGGAAAAAAAAAAGAGAAAACCAAGGCACAGATGGATTTCCACACTGCACAGGAAGACCTCTGCTGAGCTACGGGGTACATAGGTTTGGTGCCAAGCGAGTGAAATGAAGGACACCGTTACCATGCCAGAACTGCAGGCCTGCCATTTCTTACCACAGTGGAAATGACAAACTGCCACACAAGCAAAAGGCACAGAAAGTGGGAAGTCCTGTAAAGTGCCTCCAGTTGATATGACCTTGTTTGATGAGCTTATGCCACTTCTCTGAGAAACAATTAGTTTCTACAGAAATTGAAATGCCAATATTCCAGAAAAACAATGTCCCTGGGTCAAAATCAACCTTTCCTTAGATGCCAAACAGTTTAAATATTAACACATGGGAAAATTTTAGGTACACAAATGCACTGGTTCTTGGAAACTTGAGAAAGCTGCTTGGTATGTCCAGCTTCTTCAGATTTTTTTCCCCCACTGTGTGCAAGTGTAACTGGCTCAAGTGCAAATGGCATCTGGAATGAATGCTTCAGGTCTCTGAAATACAAAAAAAAAAAAAAAATATTAAGATGTTAGTGGTACAGGAAGTCTAGTAAAGGAGAAACTTGCCTTAAAGGGGAAATGAAATTTTCTTTGAAAAAGTGTGTATAATAATAGTAAAGGTGAAGCCAGAAAATGGTGGGCACTCACTTCTCTCAGGGCTTTGAGAAGACTGTGGCAGCCGGCTGGAGAAGACTTATCAATTTTAAGTTACGTTCAGGCAACCAGGTGCTTTTAGCAAGAGCAGAATGTACAAATGAGCAAACAACAGATGTAATGTTCCAAAGCAATAAAGAACTTCCACACTTAACAAGTCTGGAGCAAAAAGACCCAGGTCCCACACACTGCATTTGGCCATTTTATTAGGGAACTGCACGTGTGAACAGCAAGAAGGCAGGATGATACAGCTGCGGGTTTTGTACAGATGTAAACTTGCTTTGAACACGGTTTGGTCCTGCCTCTGCCTGAGGTTACACGAACCAGCCGCTTCTCCTTTACTGAGGCACTGCAAGCCCATTAAACGAATTTCAGCAGTAGATACCAATCATGTTTAGGCATGTGAACTCGGGCTGTGCATAGCCATAGGTGATATGTGATATACAGCTCTATGAGATATTACCATCCACGAGGCAGACCTGTGTTTCACACTCTCATGACGATCTCAGAGAAGTTACATGTGAACTGGTTTCTCATTTAAGACCTAGCTTTCTAACTAGGGACTCCACAATCCTAGTCATAATTAAGCCACAAAACCCTTTGGCTTGACAGTTAATGGAGAGCAGAAGGAATAGTAGAGGAGAAACTCCAAGATAAATGCTGTGAAGAGCCCCTTCTTGCCAGATGGTGCCAGCTAAGCAGAAAGACATTGCACAAAACCACTGATGTCTCCATAAGTTAGCCACATATGTGTGTGAAGGAAGGGGAAAGAAGACGAAGTCCATGGATGAGTGGGGGGAAATCTGCAGAGAGATGCACTTCACATGTGTGAAGAGCACAGTAACGTTCAGAAGCCAAACTGGCACGTTAGTGCTGTCCAGACCTGAACTCCATTGTAACACACAGAACTCATGTCCTGCAAACTCTGTAACAGCTGCAGGGTTCACCAAAATACTTCGGCATTGAGTTCTGCTGTAAAGAAATACAGCAGGCATGTTTGGGAAACACTGCAGAAGCAGCATCTCCTAAAAGCCAGCAAGAGATCATAAAGGGAGCCGAGCTAGCGCTGATACTGAGGAGAATCAGTAAGGTACCTCATTAGAGAACACGGTAGTAAGTAGAGAAATAGCAGATGAAATGTGGGTGACCTCACCCATCCAGTATCCTGGCAAGGGTGTGTCATACCTACGTTCTGGATATTAGCTGACTTCTCCATATAACATTATATTAATGCACGAACTGGCTTGGGACTGGACTGTCAACCCATCTTCCTCTCAGCATTCATCAGTGTGATAAGCTAAAACTGCTTCTCCTCTCTTCCCTCTTAAGTTTTCCTTTCACTGTATCAAAAAGAGGCACAGCTGGGATTCTGGTATGTCCATTATTTTAATTTCTTGATGCTTATTTCATATTCTTGTCTCTGCCTCTGTTCCTGGTGATTGTGCGTGTTTTTTTCCCGTGAAGACAACTAAAATTCCAATAATCCTCTATTTAGTTCTCTTGGCTTTGCCAGTGCAATTTTGTGCTTAGTGTTCCAGTATTGTTTTAATACATGCTACTGAGATGCACGTTCTACCTATAATTCTGATATTATCTCAGATAATCTATGCACTCAATGCTGATAAAATGAAATATTTTTTAGTTTATTTATATAGACTATGACCAGAAAAAAACAATAAAACTATTTTGTTTCACTGCCAGAATTTCACAGGTTTTGGTTAAAACAGACAATTCTGCCCACACCCCAAAATAAATTAATTTCATTCTTCATCTACCTAGTAATTTGTTGCACTGATTTTCCCCACGTGCTCTTTAGAGTCCTGATAAATTTTGGTCTAGTTTCCATTCTTGTTACAGATTTCTGTTGCACCATCCAACTTCAGAGTAGGTGTCTAAAGGCCTTTTTCATGGAGAAAGGGTTTCATATAGATGCTGACTCAAACTGATAATGTTACATGTATAGGCTGTCTGCAGAGTAGCCAGTGTACCGTTAGCTTGCCAGGAAAGTCAAATAATTCCTTCTTCAGTAGGTCTTCTGAACAGGATTTGAGATTTGGAAGATAAAGAGCCAGAGCAACGTTGGCACACACAGACTTTAGCAGTGCTATTTTAAAGGCAGATGTTGGACTACAGTGCTTCTTGGGCTACAAGCCTACAATTTAGTTTTATTTCCTCCCAAATTGTTCATCATAGCTATGGTGCTAGGCAGATACCCATTTTCATTCCCACAATTCCTATATTTATCCTTCTGTATAAGTAAATAATGAACTTCAAGATGCAGGTAGAGCAAACAATATTGTTCTAAATGACCGCACAGATCAAGTAAAGTGATAGTGCACATCTTTGCAGGCTGTCTCCCACAAAGCAAAATCCCTGCAGCTTGGGAGGACAGAAAAGCCGCAGTATCTGCATATGAACTGAAGGGCTTCAGTGATGTATAGGATTATATGTTGGATTTAACAGCCCTAGTTACTTGGATAAAAGATTAAGTCTTCAGTATTCGTAACAGACTGGATGCAGTATACTGCAAACCTTTCTTAAAGAAAGAAGAGGCATGTGGAGGAAGCAAAACAATATTATTTCTCTTCTTGTCTTAGTCAGCAATAAGGAAAAGGAGTGGCTAAGCCAGATGGACAACTTTACACTTCCTATGTGTGACACATGCAAGGGGCGCCTGACAAGGTAAGATGGTGCCATCAACTTTTGAACTCTATATTTACAAATACACTGTAATGACTTAGCAGTTCCTAGTAGCTTCTGCTTTTGCAGTAGTCTGAAGTAAACTCACTTACAGGCAAAGGCTAGAACTGTACAGATAAGCCTGTGGCTATTTTTAAAGCTATACCCTAGTGTGCACTACACTCATGTATGCTATGCCCTACTATAGTATGGTGCAGAGAGACCACACTCACCTTGTACTTAGTGTCTTGATGTTGGCTCAGCAACTGGCTTCTGCACTCCAAAGGCAGTGATAAAAATATTCACAACTACTATAATGAATACTAGTCCTGTTGCAAGGTTGTTGAGGAAATCCAGCTTTCCATGTTTTGCAGGGTTGTTAAGGTCATATTTTACTTCAAAGGGAAAAAAAAAAAAAGTTTTAATTACACGTACATTTCAAAATCCAGCATAAAAATCTTCACTAGTCACATAGTTCAAGAATTTCTCTTACACTGAGCTATTTGCATCAGTCATATTTAAAAGGGAAGTAAGATTCTGCAGTTTCAGGAAAAATGTTAAGGAGAAGACCTTTAACTACAAGGAGCCTATCAGCTTCCAGTAATTCGCATCTAATCTCTGTGGCTGCACATGGGATACACAGTCATTACTAGAAATCTTCTGAGTTATTGATCTTTTGAAATCTAGTTTTGTTGCAGACTTTAAGCATTTAAAAATTATTTCAGTCTTGAATACATGAAGCTTGAAGCCCTGACAGGATGGAATGAAGTTAAATCTACTACAGTTAAATGCTACGGGTTCTTCACAGACAGCTCCATCTCTTTATCAGTGCTGGATTTTCTTCTGTATTGGTGCCCTTCCCCAGCTGTACTCCCTGCTTTTGCACTGATTCTGTTTTTAGAAAGCATGGGCATTATATCTCTTAAACAGAGGAAGATGTCAAAGCAATGTAGCTGCAGTTCTTTTTATAGAGAGCATCAGCTGTGTAAACATTTTCTTTTGTTTCTTGCCACTGTTCTTTGGTTGAACTGCTAATGGGAGTGAGGGAGGAACACACAAGGGAGATACTATTAACTCAGTTTAAGCTTTGATTCCAGGCCTTGTGAAAACTTAGTTTCATTGGACTGCTAGTAGACTTGATGACAGAGCAAAGCATGTGCTTGTACAGGACAGTAAGAAGTCTGGGAGTGCTTGCCTGGCAGCATGTGGAAACCCAAGATTTTCCTGTCTCTGTTCTCTTGCCGTAAGGGCTCTGCAACTCAGACTCTCTGCTAAATTTCTTTAATGCTGGTGGAATGAGTGTTGATGAATTCTGGAGAGTGTTTTGAGAATGGTTTTTGTCTATTAAAACTCCTAGTTCTTAAATGCGTAGCTTGCTGGAGTTTACATGTGTGTGTACAGGACAAGTTTTTACAGCAACATAAATAAAACTTTGAGCTCCTTCTGACAGGCACATACATAGATGCATAGCTTATGACTCTACTGCATGAGATAAACTTTGGCATTTGCTCTTAACATAATGATCCTGTCAACACTGCAGAATCTAACCACAGAACCAAGATTCACTTGCTTCTTGAAGCAGTTAGGTAGAAGTGGTGGCAAACACATCTGTGATGCTGAAGCATTAAAAAACAGGTTCATTTGGTGTCCCTAATTAGGAAGTCTAATGCTGTTTTTGTTTCAAGAAATTCTGGGCTCTTGCTCAAGTCCTATTCGCTAAAGCAGTATAGTCAAACATCAGAGGCCAGCCAAAGCACTGAAGGACAGCATGGGTAAACTATCTGAAAAGCTGAAGCTACTGCACACCTGTGTAGGCATAATTTAAGCTCAGTAGTACTTAACCCTGAAAATTAGTTTATACATGTCTGTAAAGCATCTGGAGCTATGTGGATGCTTTCATCTCAACAGTACCTAGAAGGACTCTAGCAGTCATGTGAATGAAGCGGAATAAATGAAAGGGAATAATTAATCCTGAAGTATGGGAGAAAAGCATTCCAGGTGCTTGGTTTAAAAAAGAAAAGGCAATAATGGCCTAATGTTTTCTGAGTTAAAAGAAATTACGCTCAAAGGAGAATTGACACTTTCAGAGCTGTCCCTTTGTCCAAATAAGGGTCAGAGAGGACAAGTATTGCTTTTCAGTTTAGGCAGTGTTCTAAATTTTGAAGTAGAACTGCAGTAATCCTATCTTTGTGATTATAGTATGTAAAATGAGGGTGTTTGTGAAAATGTTCTTAAGAACAGTTATACTTCAAGTATCTCATTATAGTGAGATTAGATTACTATGATTTCATGCCACTTAAGCTATTTCAAAACATTCTTTTCTCTTCTAAAAAGTTAAGTTTACCAAATCACTTTCAAGGACAAGTTTGCTGAACATTTTTAAAAATGTTTTTTGTGAAAGGCTCTTCTGAAGGAGGAAAAGCTTTTAATTCCTAGCAGAGAACTGTGAGAACTGGTAGCTCCTGGGATAAAACTCTTTCTCAAGGAAAGAAACTGGATAGTTGTACATACTTTTGTCTGGACTTGTGAGAGTTTGTAAGAGGCAGAATTTTGTGGCTGGTCAGAAAGGAAAACTGTTCCTGCAGGCCAAAACTACCAATGTGAAAAGCAAGTTCCTGCTATGATGCCTGTATCTTTGTACCTTCATGTGTTATTTCCTATCTTCAGTACTTTTGACCTCAGCATGCCAGCATCACTCCAACAGCATACCGCCATAAGCCGAGGGCTTTGTCACCCTTGGTACTCCAAACCTACAGCCACTGCTGACTGCAGAGTGCAGGCTGAACTCCTGATGAATCTCACTGTTTTCTCAGTGGTCTTTGAACTCTACCTCAGCCCAACTTCAGAGTTGGGATTGCTGGGTACTCTCTTTACTCTCAGTGTGACAAAGATAAAAATTATAGACCTGGAAGCCACTTTGGCAATGTCTGGAAGAAACAAGCATTAAAAAGCAATGTCTCAGCATATACTGAGAAATTATTGCCCAACAAAAATCAAGGAACTTGTTTACAGCCTCAAAGCCTGCTTAACTGAAGCAACCACCAGGGAGATGCCTTCAACCAAGAAACGTGTAAGTGTTTTGCTGATTTTCCCATGACTCTCTTCCCACATCCCCCAGTATCATCAGGTTGCTTTTTCCCTTTCTGGAATCTCCTCTGAGCCAGGACCTGGCTTTTGCTCCTGTACCAACTCCACCAAACTCAGAGACAGCTGTATTCTGTCTCTTTCATAAGAAAGAAAAAAACTGCATCAGCTGAGTATCAACATTACAAGCTTTATGTATCCTGGTTTCCTAGGAACTTATTCCTTGAACACAAAGTTGTATTTTCAGCTGTGCTAAAAAACAGAATGTTGAAAGGCAAACAGAGATGCGAAAGTTGGCACCTATAACTTAGTAAATGCCATGTGTGAACTCTGGCTATCACCAGAAGTGATCCACACCTGCTTCCTACCAGTGAAGGCATCATTTATTTCAGTGAATAATGGGGTTCAACTGATGCTGAAACCTACACATTTCCTCTGATTTCCACAGGTATCTTTGACTGACTCTCCAAAGTTATGGTCTAGGGTTTTGGGTGTTGCTAATGAATGTTACAGGTTTTCAACAACTTTGCAAAGTGCCATTGGATTCCTTTACATTTTGCCTTGCAAAATCAAGGGGGAAAATATCACAGTAGGCAAAGATAGCAAAGAGAAATACTGAAGACTCGGTCAAAATAGAAAACTTGGGACTGCCAAAAGAGTGCTGTCTCTTCACTCTCTGTGGAGTTTTAGTTGGGCTTTTTTGGGTAATTCATGCCCACTTGGTGATGACTGATTTAGAAATGAGTCTAGTTCTATAGCTACTTAGATCGATATTCTGCCTGACGGAGTAAGGCAGAGGGTGTAGGATGTATGTGTGCTACCAATCTAGCAATACTAAAATACCTAGTTTTTAGTGATAAGTACTGGTTATTGTGCCTCATAGCATTGTACCACTGATTAGAGGAACCTCTATTTTTGAGAACAGCAAAGACACTTCACTGAACTTCTAGGAATGTGAAGGTCCATAATTCAAAAAATAAGACAGAAAGTAGAGAGGGGCAAAGGCAGGAAGCAGGGAACTAATTCTAGAGCTGTCTCATTAAATGTGTCCAAAACACACTCTAACACAACTCCTGTTTGAACTCATTCTCTTGAAATGATTTCTAGAATATGTTAAATATATTGCATCACATTTCTCTGGCAGATAGTAGAAAAGGTTTCCCTACTGATAAGCAGAATTCAAGACAATCTATTTGTAGCCACAGAATGCAACTCGGGCTGTGTTTTCGCATTGTACATAATTTCAAATTTTTGTGCTGAAGTCATATTATGAGGATAATATATGAGATATGTTCTTACAGTGAAATCTTGCTCCAACTAGCCTATTTTTCTTTTAAGCTTTAATTTCAAATTAGCACAGGTTTGAAAATTAACAAGTACATTTCTAACATTCCCTACATAGAGATTTAGGATGCTTTGAATATTTGCTAAATGTAAAACTAAGGGATTTTTCTCATTATTGTCAAGCCTTTACTATCAAACATCTGATTTGATTGCAGAAACACAAACAAACTGAAGACAATATGCCACACCAACATGAAGATGGACATTTCAACCTTCACTTTTGTTTCATAGTTCTATGTTTGCAAGATATTCTTATAATATTACTTATGATATGACTGATACAGGACAAATACATTTCAGTCATATGATTAAGTAACAGGTCTTGCCAAAAACAGTCTTATGAAACTGGGCAGGCTGCGTGATCCTATCTGGCCTGTTAATGTTTCTTTTACAGTATTTCATAATTTTCCTTCCTCCTCAGGCCTTCTGAAAAGAAAAATATTCATGCTTTGGGCAAATGAGTATGAGGAAGTTGATCAAAAGCTAAGCCTCCACATGAAAGTTACCCTTAGTCCTTTCCTTGCAACATTTCTATGATCTTAAGAGACAGCTTTAATCAGTTCTGAGGTAAAGACTTTCAAATATAACAGCTTTTTTAAAAATAAAAAGAGAGTCTATATACCATCTTATAGGTTGCATCCTGTAAGAAAAATACATGTCAATGGTTCTTGCTGTTGCTACATACCAAGGAATATCAGGAGCACCCCCACCATAACTTGCAGTGTGAGCGACAGGCTGATAAGAATAATAAGTGGGATGTAGAAGGAAAAGGAAGGTCCTTGCTCCATCACAGCTTTCAGCTGGGATGCATTGGCCATCAGTAGGGCAATGTCCAACATGCTCTCTGCAGCACTCTTCTTATTTGCATAGTGATTGATATTCATAGGTCCATTTCTTTGAAACCACTGTGATGTTCTGCGCTAAAATTGAGAGAAGGGAAAAAGGTTATTCATACCTCTTTTAATCGGCATAGTGAGCAAGAGATGGCTTGGCCCATCAACCGATTTCTGTAATCATACTGATAGAATCATGGTGGTACTGAGACTATCAGTGTATCTTTTTCACTGTTACCACTGTCCTTCACCTGATAAGAGAGCAGTAAATGGTGTCTGTACTGTACTTTGGCAGAAACACTTTTTCCAGCTTGTAGGATCAGTCTAAATAGTCAGTATGTTTCTACTCTGAGAAAAGGAAAAATAGAAAAATCTGGAAAGTTTGCACTGAGAAAAGTTGGGAGGGAAAAAACACTTAAAAACAATCAAGCAAACACCAAGTTGTTGCAACTAATTTACTCTTAAAGGTATACTTGAAAATACAAATATTTATTAAATTCACCACCTGACATCACACATCTACATAGTTTCTTAATTGCTCATGAGTCGTCTCTTGAGGATTTATGTGGAAGTTGGCCACTGTATGAGCTTTGCTTGACCTCTTTCCCTGCTGCTTCTTACTCCACCATGCCACTGTCCAGGTCCATCCATACAAAGTGAACTGTTTTTCCAGTTAAATATTATATGATCTGTGAATGCTGAGCACTGCCCCATTACAAGGACACTTTTCTTTCCGTCTTTGCATCAGCAGTTGTTTGTTTGATTGTTTGTTTTAAACTCCCCTGCAAACAAACAGGAAAATAGAGACTAGCTGCAAGGCAAAACCAGAGCTAGTTAACCCTGCAGGATGAATAAAGTGTTTTTACTGACGACAATTCATGTGACTCAGCTTGGAATTTGATATCTCATCTCCCAGGGGTGCCTATTTCTCTACAGATTAGATGCATTTTAGGGTAACTTGGTTAGGCTTAGATGCTTAACTATGAGATGAAGAAAGAGTAGGTAACACTCTTTTCTGCAGTCTCTGAACAGATTAGGAACTTCATCCTCGCTGCTCGTCTAGACTTTATTTTCAAAAATAATACACAAATATATTAAGAGTAAGCTTATTCCAGGAGACTTTAAAGCTACTTCTTAGAGACCTTTTTACTGCACAAATGTGTTCCTGCTTGCAAGAAAATACTGAGAGGAAAGTCTCTCTTTGAAAGTTAGTTCAAATGCAGAAAACATCCTCTGATTACTCTATTCAGCAGCACTAATAACTAACAAATTTCCAACTCCAAAGCCAGGTTTGCCACTGTCCAAACTTAAAAGTGTCCATTTAAATAGGATAGTTATTAATGCACACAGCAAACACACTGCCAGTTTTTCCAGTGCATCCAAATACCAAACTTGACCTATTTTCACCAGACATGTTTGTAATCAACCACAGGCTAAATATTTTAGCGAGAGAAAAATGTTATGGGGCAGCAGCAGACTCTTTTTCTGCAAAGAGAAGGAAGCCATATAATTGTAGCTCCATGCAGATGGCTTCTTTACTGAGAACTAGCTCCCAGGAAGAAAATGGCTCTGAGGTGGATATTGACTTCAGTCAGGAAGAACTCAAAATTAATTTGGTTTTGTCTATAATCCCACAATCTAAAAACGCAGTTTGACTGGGGAATCTGTCCCATGTTCGTTACCTTTTCTCTCACCAAGAAGAGTCTCCTCTTCCCCTGCCTCATTAAACCACTACAGCATTGGGATGCTTCAGAAAAAATACTGTGATTCCAGTATACCATCTACCAGAAGCACTAAACCAGGTGTGGATGTTCATTTCCTTATGGAAAGCAGCATGGAATATACGCTGGCAGTATTCAGTAGAAAAACCCAGACTAACATTTGTCACTGTTTATTGTACAGTAAAAAGCCAAACACACATTTAGCTCTTGGTTACCTAATGCTAGCAGTGTAAGAGGGGATGGGGAACTACATGTGTAATAGCAAATTCAATTTCAGGGAATGGATTTAAAAGAAACTCTTCTCAATAGTCTGTAGAAGTAATATGATCTATTTTGTCACAAGTTCATAATAGAGAAAATTTTTTCCTATGTCTAGTAGCTAATTAACTCCTTCCTGCCAAAAATACTGACTTTGAAATTGGGTCTACAAGGCAGCAGTGTGTAATGCAGGCAAAAACCACACATGTAGTTGTGACTCAGGGGACTGCAATGAAAACATGACAACCGGTTTCTTTGTTTTCACTTGATGTAGGAACGTAATCATGTTTGACATGGCTTCTTCTTTTTTTTTTTTTTTTTTTAGCTATACAAAAGAGTAAATAGTCTGGGCTACATCGTCCTTTCTACATCTGTGACTACATGATGCAAGGCAGTTTCTATGTAAACAACAGAATAATCTTTCATTTTTCCGGGGCAAATGTACTGCTGCACTTCTAGGACCTTGCTGTTTGATAATTTTCTGTATGGTTAAGTTGCAGGTCGAAACAGAAGGCTATGGCGCTTGAACTGCAGTGGAAGTAAAGTTTTTGAGTCACTTCTGAACTCCAATAAATGGAGAAGACTTTCAAAGTAGGGTGCTGCTAAGGCGAACTAGGGCAAAACTTCTTATTCCTGGAGTCACAACTCAGCTATTTACTATGTCTAGATTCTAAAAAAATGGCATTTTGCTCTGTTAAGAGGCTTTCAGCTACCACTCCTGAAAGCAGACCAGTTCAGAATTGGAACTTGGCATATGGAGAACTGAAACGTTGGTTCTACTGTACAGAGTTTTTCTCAGCCTCTGATCTTGCCTTCTGCCAGGAAAAAGGATCTGTAATCATGAAAGCCCCAGAAACAATAATTTCCCGTCTCCTGATTGAGAAATGAAACCTTCTGACTCATGCTGGAAAACCATAAAGCAACAACAACAAAAAAGAAAATTAGCCTTGCCTCTGGAAGCAAGTCAAAGGCAATTGCCAAAAGTATTGAAACAAATGCAGTCAGTACTATGGTGGCAATTTTAAAGATCAGACTACATGTTACACAGCAATATATAGACGGGCAATGAAAGGAGAGTTGTTGCCTTGACCTCAGTATAATGACAGTCATGTACAACAGAAATTATATGCAAACATTGCTATGTGGCTTTATGGTTTCAGGGAGATTCCAAGCATGTAGCAACACGTGCAGCCCACAGCACCAAACGACATGTATTATGCTGTTATCACCTGCAGGGCTGCAGAGAGGGAAAGTGAAACTTCTGAAGATTTTTGAGGATGCATGTAAAGTAAGGCTTTTCCTGCAGGTGCTACTTGGCAAGAGAACAGTATGTATTCCACACAATCTCCTTCAGTCTCAATGTAATCAAAACACCGTATTACACACTTTCAATATACAAATTATCTGGTACAGACAAGCTGATCCCTTCAGTTGGTGTCACCAAATGAGTATGAGGAGAACCAGCACGAGTATTCACACATGTGTACATATGAGCCAGGTGTATCTGGAACTGCTGTATCTTCCTTTTCCTGTCAGTAACAGCCTGCCCTCAGGTCTCCCATTGCCCACAAAGCATCAACCTCTGAGCAGAACAACCCGCCATGCTAGTCTATGCACAGTTATAAAAAGGACAGGAGTAAAAAGTCTCCCCCTCTTGCTCAGTCTGTGACTGGAAGAATGTCCTGTGAAAGAGCTTATTTTCACCGTCAGACGATGCTGTCCTCACAAACAGTACCACTCCGCATTTCCGCACGGCAGCAGGGTCTGTTTGCTTGCCCAGAACACTGCAGTTTGAAAGAATAAAGCTATGATGCTGCATCAGAAGCTGGTATATTTTGCTTCTGTAAGACCAAACCTTCACACTAGAAATTAAAGGTGTTGGTACAGACTTTGCCACTGCTTTGCTTCATTCGTCATTTCAACAGTACACCCAGAAGAACTGAATCCTTTTGAAATACAGAAAGGATTTATTCATTGCATTTATTAAAAATAAAAGTGACACTGAGGCAAACGTCCTTAGATGCTGAGTTTCATGAATCACATCTAACACCCATCTGGTGATTCAACAGGATGGAAACAGCACTGAAAATGGAAACATCTGAAAACAAATAATAAAGTATCTTTGCTAAAAACTGTAACTTGCTACAGTGAGGATTTCTGCTCCTATTACAGCATTAAATCACTACTTGTAATTAAATTTATGTGGTGTTTGTTCAAAAGAGTATTTATCAAACACTAGTGACTGCTGAAGTAGTCAAATTAACATGCTGGTAGTCTGACTGAAAAAAAGGAAAGCCCAAAAGTAATTTTTTTTTTTTTTTAATTCTCTAACTTGACCCAAGTTTCCCAAAATATACCAGTTACTCTAACCAGAGAAGACAGGTGGAGTTTTTGACATGCCAGTCATCTGTAATCCACAGAGAAGAAAAAAAAAAGACTAGTGAAAATTATGCCTATTTTGTACTTGTATTTAGAACTCAGTTATGCACATTTCTGTCACCCTGTTCTATGAATGCAGGAAGAAAGAAATAATTTGGATTTTGAATGTAAGCTTTCAGGATTTACTCCTTCTCTTTTGGTGTGTTTTTATGTACTTTACTCAGCTTCTTGAATGTCTTCCACCATATACATGTTACCCTATCTCTTGATTGTTTTAAGAAAATCTAAAAAAATAGCCAGAACAAAAGCTCCACAAAAACTGTAAAAGGCAAATATTTCTTGAACCAATAGGACCTTGAAATTTCCAAGTTAAGAGTCAGATATGTTATGAACACTGAATTTACTGTTCTTGTAATGAAGTTAACAGATACTTGCAGTAGCACAATACTGGTTACTGTTTTCTTCTTAAATCCCAGTAGAAAAACAGTATTTTGCAGTTAGCAAGGTGAACTTCCAATTCCCAAAATGAATACTTAGAACCAGAAACTGCAAAGTATAAGCCAGAACTACAGCCTGGGTCATTCTAATTTTGATTTGCAATTTGTAATTGCAAGTATCAGCTGGGACTGCAGGACCCAGAGCTCAATGTGTGTTGCATGTCAGGCTCAGGGTCTCATATTTGTGCGCTGAAAACACACGAATACTTATTGGTACAGTATTAGCACAAAATATTTCCATGGTATTCTAACTTTAAATCATTATGCATTAGAATGCTTTTATTAAATACAGGAGACCCACAGTTTGCCATGGGATAATTGGGAAAACAATGCTGATTATTATTTCTATATTCCAAACAACGCTTCTAAGAACAGTGCTTCTGATTAATAACACCTTCCTCAAGCTGTCAGAAGGTTCTTTGCCTTCAAGTACATTGACTCTGAAATACAGTCTTCATAGTCTTTGGTTTGCTCTAACTTTGCATACAGTTTTCTTTCTATTTTAGGTTAGTGATTACTGCAATTTTATGACAGCTTTTGGACTCTTTTAATAGCCAAACAGTCTTGATTCAAACTGAGATCAGACAAACTTGTTGATCAATATGACCTCTGGGTTTGTAATGTCATGGAGCAAGCTTCCTTAAATTCTTGTGTTTAGGGACAGACCTAATTTTAAAATAATTGAAAGGCTGAGTCATACTGATCTTACAGTGGATGGTTCTGTACTGCGTTTTGCAATAGTCTTTCTAATCAAAACTGCTAAAAAGATGCTAAAGAGCCCTTTTGTTTAAAAAAGTAATTTTCTAAGCTTTTGAAGTATTCACCTTTAAGAAATATACTGCACAGCAATCTTTTCCAGATCTTTTAGCGGTAATTTCATGTTCAGGAAAAATTCCAAGTTATATCAAAACAGAGAAAGATCAGACACAAATGAAATAATACAAGACTAAATCTGAACACAAATTCAGACCTTTATTTTTACTTTTTCTAAGATCGACCCTATAATTACAGAATTGTATCACTAACTTTATACAACTATTTAATAATCCTCCTAGATGTGAAATTTCTGTCCACGTCTCCATCACCTGCATACTGAAAATATAATGGGCCATACATGACTACTCTGAAATAATTGGACTTCCCTTCTGTCTCAGAGATCTTGCTGACCCCCAAAAATAGGGAAAACATTCTACAAAGAAAATAAAAATTCTTCCAACAAAAATTTTTAGTGCTATATCAGTTATGTAATGGATTATTAGATCCTTCGTACACCTCCTTAGAAGATATTTCTTTTCCCCCAATAAAACATTAGATCACTTGTTCAGCTCAGCACTGACTCAGAGAGAAAAACCCCTACATCCGGACTGAATCATCATTTATATTTCCTGTAGGAATTTCACTGGGGGGGGGGGGGAAACCTGTCCATCAAAGTACCAACGTAGCATAACACTAACTACCTTGTGAAGACTTCTGCAATCACATCTTGAGACAGTATGGTTGCAAGCAACTAAAAATAAAAAAAAAAAAAGGAAGGGGGAAAGCTCAGCCTGTGTTCATATTTCATAGACAGTATCAATTTTCTAGCATCTTTAAAAGCCTATACTTAAGAAAAGCCACTCTTTATACAGTCACACAGAAAATGCAAGTATGACTACATTAAGATAAAGAGAGTGGTAACCATGCCAATTCCCGAGAGCTAAAAAGTTAGCATGAAAAAAAGGGAACAGTACAGTCATGTTAACTCAGGGCAGAGCACTCTTTTCCTAAAGCTATACTGGTTCTAGGACCAAGAATATTTTACTCCTTAAATGACTTAAAAATAATCAGCACAGCTGATGACTAACTTTGTGAAATGAAGCAGTAACTTAAAATTGTTCGTACAGCTATTTAGATGGAAGCTTTCTCCTTTATGATTATTTTTCTGTCTTGCATTACTACTGCTCATTCCAATGACTTGGTCTTACAATAGTATTTCTCATAACTGGACTGTGAGCTGCCTATTTTGTATTGTTAAAGCACTGTTTGTTTATTCTAGCTACTTAAAAAAACAAGCAAACAAAAACTTATCACCAGTAATTTCAATATTTGGAGTATATCAAATATTCCAAATTCAGTTTCATATAAGCAATGCTTTAGAACATGCCATTTTATTCTATATGGTGTAAAATAAAGTTCCACAAATTTGAAGTTTTTTACTTGCAGTATGATGTCAAGAAACTACCATGTCCCCAAACTACTTACGAATTAATATACAATCTTGAATACATTTTTAGTAACATGACTATAATAGAAACCAACTATTCCAGAGCTGTTCTCTTCTGCTATCCTTGTTCACCTTTTTCATAGTTCTTCTTTAGCTCTTTCAACTAGCATTTTCTGTTATCTCAGAAACATTAAACTAGATTTTACAACACAGTGAATCTAGGCTGTTTCAATATGGACCATGAACAAGGAAAGCAAATAGAAGATGGAAAAACAGCTACCATCTTTATTTGTACTAATAGATCCTTTGCAGAAGCAGCCAGACACATCTGTCAAGTGTAATTATTCACATTAGTCAGTGAGGTGTGCCAGGCCAACCCAGTATTAGAAGCAAGGAATTTCTTGCTTCTGAAAACTTGACAGCTGCTGAAAAAAAAAAATCCAAATTAATGATGGAGTTAAAATAAACCGAATTAAAGCATTGTGTAACAACTCATTCGGACTTACAGTGGGCTTAACTAGTCTTTTTTTTAATTTGTGTGCTTTGAATGCTTTGAAGGTAAAACTGTATCTGCATTTCATGTCAGCTCTTCTGTAAGAGAAGGCAGCAGTCTATTGCTGGAGATGTGCAACAGAGTCTATTTTGAGGAGAGGGCAGATGTTAGGATGGGCAGTAAGCAAACCAGAGTGGTCCAAGTTGCGATGCTTGTGAGCATTCCTAAAAGCAGACACTTATGCACTTTTGACTCTAATACTGAAGATTTTGGCACCTGTGGATTTGTGCTCTCTCCAGGTTTAGCTGGCTGCTGAGTTGGGGTGTTCTTTTGTTTGTGTGAATTGTGAACCTCGTCAGATTTTTAAAGGTATCTCCTATTCAGACTGTTTTTTAAAAAATCTGTCCCCATCTGTTTCACCTCATATATGCCTTTTTTTTGTTGTTGTTGAGAAAATGAAAAAAGTGTCTGTAAAGTTCTCTGAAATGCTATTACATACCTATAATAGAATATAATAGTACATCTCACCGTTTATGCCTTATATGGCACTCAGAAAAAACTTGAAGTTTCTATGGGAAAGATGTAACAAAATGATGACCGCATGCAACTGAAGATGAAGTAAAACAGGAAAGTTGCAGAAAAATTCTTGGAGCAGATCAAGGTAAAATAAAAAAAATCCCCATGACTAGTAGGTGTGATGCAATCACAACTCTATGTTAATAAAAAAAGAAAATTGCTGAAAGGTCAGTGGCCTAAAGGAAATCCCTTCATGCTGCCAGTTTGACCCACGTATCCCACACTTGATTCTGTTTAGGTACATTCCAGGATTTATTAAAACCAGATTTTTTATTTTTTCCTTTGGTATGACATTCCTTACTACAAGGGTTTGTCAGGAAGGGAGGAAGGACAGATCTGCTACACAATCAGTCCAGTCTGTCTGCAACCAGAAAGTTTTACCAGTGACGTAGAAGGTGGTTTAGTACAACTGTTTCTATGTGGCAGAGTCTTAGGTTGGAATAAGAGCTGCTTTTTAGAGTTCAGTCCTTTCCAAAACAACATAAAAGAGTCTCTTTTACCAGTCTAGCTTTTCAGATTAGTGGCATGCTTGGAAAACATCCTTTATGTGTAAACAGAATATGGGATGAAATGCTTTCCAGTGAAGATTTCTGGTCATGTTTTAACTACAGGGAGTAGCAAAAAGCTGGGTATTTCTCTTGTTTTTATTTGGATTACTGTATGGGGGAAAAAAAAAAAACCAAACAAACAACAACATAGAGACCCCACCCTTTAATTCCTCCTACTTTTGTGCTCACTTATCTCCTGTGCAGATACCCCTGAGTAACTTTTCCATCTTCTCCTAAATCATCTGGGTGGAAAACTGCTCGCAGACTCACAGCAGTGCTGCTGTGCTGTAAGCAGAGATTTCTGGCTGGGAGGACATCCGCCGGCCTTTTGGTTGACATGGGTAGGAATTAAGAGGTCAGTGTGCCAAGGACTAAAAAGGATTTTCTTTTCAGCCCTCCACTGGCACTCTCCTATCTTTGAAAGCGGGCAAAATGGGATGCTTGCAACCAGCATCCCATAATAATAATAATAATAATAATAATAATAATAATAATAATAATAATAATAATAATAATAATAATAATAATAATAGAAGACGCGTAACAAAAATGATGCTAATTGGGAAGTAGGGATTACAGCTGCAGCCAGCACACACCGCGCCCCCGGCGCTCCCTCCCGGCCTGACTCCGCGGGCGGCTCCGCTGCCGCTGCCCCGGGGCGGCGATGGGCCCCGTCCCGCCCGCGGCCCCGTCCCGCCCGCGGCCCCGTCCCGCCGCTCCCGCGGCCCGTTCCCAGCGGGCCCCGCCGCCTCCTCACGCCTCGCTCCCGCCCGCTGTGCCCCGGCGCCGCGGCAGCCGAGCCCGCCCCCGCAGCCGGCGGGAAGCGGCCCCCGGGCCCTACCCGCTCGGCGGCCGCCGGCTCCACGCCCTCCACCTGCCCGTTGAGCTCGAGGTTCTCGGTGCCGGAGTCCATCGCCGCGCAAGTGAGGCCGGCGCAGCCCGGGCGCGGGCCCCGGCCCCGGCGGAGGCGGGGAGCCCCTTCTGTCCCGGCCGGGCCTGGCGCGGCGGGTCGGGGCGGGAAGGGCCGCTGCCCGCTGAGGGGAGAGTTGCCAATGAGGCGGCGATTGGCGGGGCTGCCGCGGCGGCCCCCTCGGCCCCGTCCCTCCCTCCCCTCACACACGCCGCCCCGGGAGCTGTTTCCAGCCCGCCCCGGGGAGGTTCCCCGCCCGGCCCCCCCCGCCGGTGAAGGTTTCCGTGCAGGGCGGAGGGGGGCCCGGCAGCCGCCCCCGCAGCGGCGGCCTCTTTCCTGCCGAAAACCCGGTGTGGGGCGAAGCTTCTCTGGCTCCGGCTGAGACTGGGGCTGAGCAGGGTCTGGGGGCCGGAGCAGCTGCCTCCCGCCGTCAGCTTGGGTTTCAGGCCAAACAGCCTGGTCTTAACTGGAAATTAACGTTAATTTTCAGTGTTGGCCAAGAGTAACAGTTCGTGCTGTTCTGGAGAGGAGTAGAGACAATTGGTCTGTATGCAAATGTTTCATTTTAGAAAGCTATCTGGACAAAATTAAAGTTGAAGGCTAGGTTTTCATTTTAAGAGTGCTCCCATCAGTGTTTTCAGTTTCATTATCCTATTTTTTTTTTTTTTCTCCCTAGACTTATTTTCCCACCTGTACCATGGCAGAGGACACACAAAAACGATTTTTCTCGTGATGGAACATCAGAGGAGCACTTGGATGCACAGAAACAACACAACTGGCAGCAAGAGTAGTAAAGTAAGCCTAGAGGATGGAACAAAGCAAAACAATTTAAATTAGATTTAAAAATGTAATTATTACAAGCAAACCTTCTGCTACTTATATTAAACAGTGTTCAGAGTAAAAAATAAATTAAAAAATATGTCTTATATGACAACATGTAATCTCTTTTAAGACTAGTAGTGAACTGCTCATTTGCACTGAAAATGTTCTTGAGTAGTTGTTCAGTGAACCTGTTCCTATGTGTGGTGTCCAAACATGTATTCTTCAGGTTAATTCCTACAAAATCTTCTGTGTTAGGAATCACTTTTCTCACCACTAAACAGAATGAAAAGGCAGTAATAGAATGTAAACAAACAGACAGAATGTAAATATAAATAAATATAAATTGAATTTTCAAAATTAGGTATAAATGAGTGTGGGTGTCTACCTATTTCACTGGATCCGAATATTTCTGTCTCTCTGTGTGTGTATGTTTTGTGTTTATACATACATATTTTTTGATTTAGAATACCTTGTAGTAAGTTAGTGTGAATCTTGTCATTCTGTAATCTGTAATTAAGTCGCTATTTTAATCATAACATATTCTACCTAATCACCTTGTTAATCTTTAAATTGGTCAGTCATTAAGTGCTGTTAAAATTCAACTTTTGGTCCAGCTCACACCATTAATAAAACTTGAATTTTTGCTAAATCATAACCGTGTAAAATATGAGGTCATATGTCACATGAGGTCTCGAACTGCCCTCATACCTTACAAAGTGGCTGTGCCTGAAAACGGAAACTCAGGCTTAAGGACTGTGACACATTGAATAAAAGTCTCTGCCATATGTCATATCACTGCAGCTTTTTCCAGGCAGCAGATGAGCACACCTCTAACAGGCAGTAGTTACTGAGTGGGTATGAGAGCAGAACTGTGGCAACCACCTTAAAATTTCATGAGGCTCTGTGTCCGTTTTGTCCTTCGAAGTTTCTCCAGTGGGGTTTGATGAAAATTCATATTCACCTTGGTACTACACTGAACTGACTTCTTATAACTGACTTTTGGTTTTGAGTTCACAGTGATTTTTTGCTAAAGCAGATTTAATTGGTGACTGAATCCATTTTTAGAGTCCATGCAAAAGCTTATGGACAACCAGATGTGGCTAAGCACAAATTAAGCACACGTTAGGCTTCCATTTTTAATGCTAGAAGTCACTGATGATTACATTTCACTGTACTCAGGAGTGTGTTGAATCAATCATTAACTTTCGTCTCATAAAATCACCTTGATGCAGTATACCCTTGCAAGTTGCTGTCTGCACAAACTGCACAGGAAACATTTATTTTATTAGACTTTATAGGAAATCCTCATCTATCTGGATTCCTAGTGGCCTTCTCTGCCTCTCTTTAGTACAGTGGGCTAGAAAACACTTATTCAGAGAGAAAAATAAAGTTTGGTTATTACAGTCCGTAGAAAATGGAAAAAAAAATATGTATTTTGAGAGCAGATATATTTGTATCTTTTCTTATGCTGAGAAGAATATACAGTAAAAGGAGAAGAATGGACATAAATTGAAAAAACTGTCAGTTGCATTATTTTGAAGCAGTGCAAAGCTGAACCCTCACCTGAGATGTTTCCAGTGGATGGGAATATCGTATTAATTGCTCTGGTGGTATTATGACTTTCCAGGGTGGGCACAAATATTTTGTTAAAGAGGAAGCAGGGTAAGGGAACAAGCGGCCCCACTTTGAAGCAAAGCTATGAGCCACACTGTGTTGTCAGTTCTTAACAAGTCCGAGGCTTGAAAAAGCACAATGCTTTCCTTAGTTTTAGGGTTTGCAGTAACTGAACTTCAGTAATGCACTCAGCTAGGCTAGCCTTTATCAGATGCAGTACCAGTTAATTTTACAGTTATCAAATATGTTTTCACTGTAACTGCCATGGTATTTGGACCCCAAGAAAGCTGGTCAGAATACTCTGGCTGCCAGTGTCCAGTGACGTTTTCAGAGATACTGCTATATTTATAATTGCCCTTTTTCATCTTCTGTAGCTCTTTGCAAATGCATTTTGATAAACTTGTTTGACAGCTGTAAAGGTTTGATTTGCCCTAGTGAAAATATTTTGCCCTTAATCCTAAAAATTAGAGATCTACTATTTGTAGATGACACTTAGGAGTTATAGTGCTGAGTTATTCCTTCTCTGTGCTAACCCACATTTGTACTGCCCAGTCACATGCCAAAGAGATATGTGAGAATAGGACCTGTTGTTAATCTTATGGGAAATCAGTGTAATTTCAGTGGAACTGAGAAACAGCTTAGTCTGAGTCTGTGAAATGGCCTGTGAGCCAGTATTCACATATGGTCTGAAACAGTCACTTCTCTGTTGCATGTTTTTATTGTTGCGCTTGTCAGCCTTATATCAATTTTTTAACAATAATGTTTCCTGATATCCAGCCTTTGAGTTAGTTCTGCTGGGTGAATCTGGGGGGAAAAAAAAAAAATAATTGCTACTTATGAAAAGGACCCTGTGCTCCCTGTAGTAAAATAGCTGCAGATTGAGGCTGGTGGTAAGAGAGGTAATAGATGGGTGATGTGGTCAGTCTGCAGCCGTGTAATGAAGCAACAAGGCAATACTGTGTGGTAGGTCAGTCTTGTTTGTGTGTGAATTTGAGCACAGTCATTATAAAATGTGAAATCTACAAGTGTTATCACATGAGTCTGAGTCCTGATTTTTGGTGAGTGTTATTCAGAGCTGATATTGGAGGATGCAGATAGGGTTCTTGGGGTCACTGTCAAAACAGTCATTGAAACCTGGGTGGAAATACTCAAGACAAAAAAGACCCGTTGCACTGCGTCTTTACATCTTATCCTTGAAACAAATTTGCAGTCTGTATTACACTCTCAAGCCATTAATTGTTATTAATTGTTTTGGGTTTCTTTTTCCCTCAAAATTGCTGTGATGACTATGTGACAGGCACAGAATGACCCTAGAACTCTAACTAGAAAGGACAATGTTCTGCATTTTCACTAAAATTTAAAGGTTTTTTTGGTTTGATTTGGTTTTGGGGAAGGATTTTTTGTTTGTTTGTTTGTTTAAATATTATTGTGTGTGTGTGTGTGTGTGTTTTGTTTTGGGTTTGTTTTGTTTTGTTTTTTTAATCTAGGGATTAATTTTCTCTGAGTGAATACTATTTATGTGGCCAAAGAGACAATCTGAAGAAGCTCAAAATAAAAAGTACATGGTGCTACCTGGCATTTGTGGTCACTATAAAAACAAGTCATTATGCAAACTGGTACTTCCTAACTAGAGCACAAGTTTAAGTAAACAAAATGACATTTGGTATAATCTCTCTGGGAAAAACAGATCCGTCATTCAAAAACATAGAATGAGGGAAGGATCAAAGGAGGAGGCTATTGGTGATGAAGAAACGAGATTGCTTGAGCTATTTAACAAGGATACAGACGTCGCAGTTCCCAAGCTGGTACTTCGTATCAGTTACGACTACATCGCCTTTTATAATCTCCTCCTACCTCCCTCAGCACACCCTACATTTTTTTGTTGTTGTCATCTAGATTTACATAAACAAAAGCTTAGTTTCTTGCCCTGGCAGCTATTCTCAAAAACAAAACAAAACAAAACAAAAAATTCCAACAAAAAAACAACAAAAATCTTTCTATCCAGCGTAAGATATGTGTAGTTTGATTATTTATTTATTTTGAAAAAAGGTGAACATGTGTCATATCATTGAAATTACTCGAAGTGAAAGCACATTATTTTTTGTGCTGTTTCTTCCTCTTTTGGTTTCCTGTTATTCCTTCAAGACTTGCATTATACCCTGCAGAAAATCACAGCGTTTTAGAAATAATTTTAAAGGTAAATACTTAATTTAAGCAGTTTTAGCTCCAAATGCCTGGCAGATTTTAATGAAAATAACATTTTTAAAAATAGCTAGCTGTTAACATCTGATATCTTCTTAGTTCATGACTCCTGATAGGTGTGAACTATAGGAAAGAAACTGACTTTTTTATTTCATTTGAATTATGCATTTAGTTATTTTCTTGTGGTCTCTTGTCATAATTTTCTGCTTGATGCTTGCTCTTTGTGTTTATGTGAACTACTTGGGAGTTGGGAAAAGATAGACAAAAAGGAGTTTCCATGATGTTCTCTGTGAATGGCGGGACAGGATGCAGTAGAGATACTCTCCACCTAAGAGCAAGAGACCTGTTCCACTTTCCCTTTAAAAAAAAAAAAATATTCTGTGGGTAAAAAAAATCAAAGCAATGATTTAGAGAAAGAGCAAAGGAGATTTGAAGGGCCTGACAAACATCTAGCCTACCAGCAGAACTGCAAAATTCCCTGC